GGCGATTTTAACTCTTGTGATCACTCCTTCCTTATATCACTTGGCCATGACAATATTGTTAACTTTGCTACCCGTCTCGAAAAAACACTAGATCTAGTATTCATCAATGATGTTGGTATATATGAAGCTCGCAAACGTGCTCCTGTATTGAACTCTGACCACTGCATCATACGTGTACTGCCTAAAATATATTCCAAATCACACAAACGTGTCTTCTCTCACCTCTACAGTAAATTTCAACGGAGATGCTACTCACAAGATAATCTAAGCAAACTCAGATGCATGTTGATAGATACTAACTGGGACCTATTTACAGAACAAACATTAAATGACACAATCACAAACACCACAGATTATCTTAAATTCTGTTTGGAAATATGTTGTCCTAAAGAAACATTATTCACTCGTTTTGACCGTTTCTCTTCTCCATATCTCAAAAAGCTCCGTAGAGATAAAGAACTGTTGTTCAAAACAAATGATAAGTCAGGTGTAAAAAAGCTAAATCCTCTGATAAAACTCGAAATGCACAGACTAAATGTTTTATACAACCAAAGATTTTTGTCATGTAAAACCCCTTCTAGTTTATGGAAACTTTTTAAAGAAATAACTAGCGGTAAGCGGTGTAATTCTGTACAATCTCTTAATGTTAATAATCTTAATAAGTCTTTCATACGCTCCTCTGACGATATCCTTCCTAATGATACAAATCACATAGACAATAATTTTAATGGTTTTAATACCCTTGATGTGCTTAAATGTCTCCGTTCTCTTAAGCCTTCCCAAAGCCTTGGTCCTGATGGCGTACCTGCCATTGTCCTCAGGAACTGTGCTGATATTTTGTGTTACCCTCTTACTAATATTTTTAATGCTTCCTTTTCCAGTAATGTTCTACCTTCTGCATGGAAAAACATTAAAATTGTCCCTATACCAAAACAATCTTCTGGTACCGATAGTAAATTTAGGCCTATTGCAATTACTTCTCCTTTTTTAAAATTGATGGAAAAACTACTTTTACTTCGTCTTGAACCTTCATTGAAAGCTTTTAATGACCCTAAGCAATTTGCATATAAACATGGTAGAAGTACCTTGGATGCTGCGGTTGTCTTATATCATAATGTTGTTTCTTGTTTAGACAAAGGTGCCAAATATGTCCGTGGTGCTTTCCTAGACATCTGCGTTTGACTCTGTACCTAGGGGCCTTTTATTAAATAAGCTCTCCTTGACGCACACAGCATCCTGGGCTAAGAGTTGGTTGCATTCTTATTTTTCTGATAGAATGCAGTATACTGCATATAATGGCAAATCTTCTTCTGCTTTGCTTACAACAGCCGGTGTTCCTCAAGGTGCCGTCCTCTCTCCCTTTCTTTTTTCTTTCTTCTTACATGACCTGCCACATTTAAACGAAACCAATTTTGTCAAATATGCTGATGATCTGACTGTATCACTGCCTATCACTTCTGAGTCTGACTGCACCAAACTTAATAGCTTTTTGTTGGACATCAGCATGTGGTCTAAGTCAAATGGTCTTATGTTAAATCCTTCTAAATGTCAGGCAGTTAACTTTACCTTCAACCATCGACGTGACATACATGAACTAGTTAGTTCCCATGATGCCTGTATCATAGATGGTACAGAAATTGAAACCAAATCAAGCATTAAATACCTTGGATTAGTTCTTTCCTCGGACCTTTCATGGTCATCTCACATTTTATTGGTCTCTAAGAAAATGTTTCGTCTTACCTTCTACATTAAAAAGTTAAGACAACAAGGTATCAGCCAGCCTTTAGTTCTGCGATTTTTAAACTCCTGTATTTTACCCATTTTACTTTATTGTTCTCCATTAATCTTTCCTGGGCTTCTTAAAAAAGACTATGCCGTTTTACGAAGGGTATTAAATGCTGTGAGTAGGGCTTGTGGTTTGCCACTGCGTGATCTCGCCAATACCATAGTCGAGAGACACGTAAATTCCTGTAAAAATTGGGCAAAGGCCGTACTGTCAGACCATCTGCACCCTCTTTATTCACAATTATCCCCTTGTATCTCATCAGGTAGAACGAGAAGTCAATATAAGAAATTATATGCTCGTACCACTAAGTACAAAAATTCTACAATACCGTACTTAGCCCGTATTTTATGTGATGAAGACACTGTTAGACGTGAAACATATAAGTTACTATGTAATTAGCATAGTGAATCGACCCTTTCATTGTTCATCTTTCTGTAATTCTATGGTGTCACCCTTTCTATCGTTTAATTATAACTTTGCTATTTTTATTTTAGTTGTTATTACTATTATTACTATAATTTTATATTTTTCTCCTTATCCTCTACTGTAATTGCTACATAGCTCCTATAAAAACGTTTTGTTATCATTATTATGTATTAATTATTCCGTTTATCTACTTTTTTTTGTTTGTTGTTGTCGTTTTTGAGTAAATTAGATGCAATACTGTACTGAATGCTGAAAATTCCTTGCTGTATCATTAATACTGTTTTTGGAATAAAGCAAAATTATTATTATTATTATTATTATTATTATTATTACAATGGTGATTAATCATAATAGATTTGTAGAGTGTGGGGTAGGAAAAACTGACAAGTCAGTTCAAGGTTATAAAAGGTGTCAGGTGAGTGGCTAGTACAAAGTGGTCTGTATCAAAGAGGAGACAGTAGGACTACAATGAGAGGTTCATAATGAAATAACGAATGTGTGGAATGAAACAGGTGGAGGCATATATTGAGAAAAGAGATAATAGTATCACTAATAATAAGTCCGGATAGTATAGCTATTAGCATTAAATAGCGAAATGTCAGTAAAAACAATATCGTTTTGTTTTTCATTCATTGGGAAATACAAAACCTTTATTATAATGAAAATTCGATAGTATTGAGAGAATGTTTGCATGAAGGGCAAACATTTTTTTGTAATCGAATTCAGCCTAGCACATTTGTCACACAAATACGACTATTTATTTTGACACCCCATAGCTAATCTGTTATTCTACATTTTTAAAAATGTATCCGCCGCATAACTGTTATATTTTAATAATTGTAAGAACCTGAATAGGAGAAATTATTGGAAAGAATATTCTTCGTTCAGAATGACGTTTAATTCATGTGATATGGGATATATTTCACACTATTAAAACACTAATATTAGTTGTCGTTTTCCTAATGACTCAGTTCATATTACTTGGCTGAACTGAGGTACTCTTGTTGATTCCCAGAATGCATACTTAATTATCGCCTTTAATTTCATCTTGATAGCTGCCATGATACAGAAGGATGACAATGTACATTATTCATGAAAATTCCCATTGTAACATAGAGAAAATCAAAACAAGAGGTGATTCAGCGAAGAGACTCTTTTCAACGAAAGCCATACAATTATATATATATATATATATATATATATATATATATATGGTTTTTAAGAAGTTATATCCGGTGAAGGAATTGAATCATAGGTGTGAATTCATAAAATAATAATAGTAGTATGAAATGCAATTAAATCTAAAATGTTTGTAATTATAATCATAGTTAAGTGTCAAGTGGCAAAATAATTAATGTCATATGTAGAATAATTCATAGGATGGATAGAACTTGAAAAAGGGTATGCAATTATAGGATTAGTAGACAAATCGAATAAAATAGCAACGTTACGTAGTATTGTGTGAAATTTGATAACATATCACTTAACGTTGCAAGACAGAATTGATTTAGAATGATAAGTGGAACAAGTGAAATAATACCGGGGACAATTCAAAGTGAGAATAGTAACAAGAGTAAGAACTGACGTAATAAAGGAAGAGTAAACAAAGTGAATAGACAAAATGGAAAAAAAATTGGTAGAGCCAAAATATTACTAGGGATTACCATACTTTAGTAAAGAAAGATTAAGACCACTAAAGTTGGAAACGTTGAACGAACTTTTTCTGTACACAGAGATCTGGCCTACCTGTTTTAATGGCCAAAGATGGTTTCAACAATACAGATGAATCGGGTACGGAGTGATTTCGGTAAATTACTTTTTGCCTTGTAGATGACTTTAAAGGCGAAGGCTATAGAGATAGGGTGATCATTATCGACCAGATGTTCAATGATCGCGCTTCTTATTGCTCCACTTCCACCTCTTCGTAACTACCAGCAGGATAGTATTCTTGCACCCTCTTGGACAAAACTCGAATCGAACGACCGATTCAGTTGGTTGGAAGTTCAACCGCACCTCCACTCATAACTTGCTTGATATTGACGGGTTATTTCCATCTATAACTGCGATACATCTTTATTCTTTTAAGCTCGCAGCGGAACATAGGACTTCAAGCGAGAGCTTTGAATTTTCATTGGCAGTGGTTTCATTTTAACGGTGTAAGGTTGCTAGCTACACACCCAGCCTTCCCTCTTAATCAGTCTTACTACCGGCTTAGGGAGGTTTAAGAGTGCGTCGGCCGGAGATCGATGTCTGGACCACGTGTGTGGTTGGAGGGCCGGACTACCAACACCCAACTACAATACTCCTTTTATTACTATTATTTTTATTCATTCCCTAGCGGAATACAAGACTTCATCTGCACATTTGTATTCAGTTCTCTGACACCAATTTCAAGAAACTCTATAATCGACAGACAAGTTCTCATTTCTCCACCACATAAGATCTTTCCCATGTCACCTCCAGACTTATGCTAAGACTTTCCCTCTCCAAGGACTCAAGGACCTGGGAGTTAATGTCACTTTTTTCGATTCCTTGAGATGGAAACATATCACTTCAAGCTTTTCCAAGATTCCCTGACGATAATGCTACACTTACAGGGCTGTGTAGCTGCTAGTTTCAACTGCCCAACTTTACCTCTTCTCCGCCCTTATTAATGGATAGTAAATTAGGCGAAAGGTGAGTGTTCGCCTACCAAGTTGGCTAGCATTCAACCAATTAACTACAGACATATGTGATGATGTTATGCATGTTCAATGTCATTATTTTACCCTCAATTCTTTTCTTACAGATTGTTTCAAATTACCAAATTCCACCTCATTATTCACCGTCAATATCTATGGAGTCGGATAGTCTACAGGGTCTAACAAACTGTTCTAACTCACCTGTCCATTGTACAACACCTTCAATAAATTTTCACATTCAACACTTGTTGAATTCAAATGATGACGCTGCCAGTCAAAATAATCTTAAAATCAAGAGAGGTACAGCACAAAAACCAATGCTGGACTGCAATTATACTCCAGGGAATAAATCTCATCCAATTCATCAATGAATGTGATCAGTGATCATGATCTTTGTTATGCAATGAATCATATGAAAAAGAGAATTACCACTAGTTACAACGAGACTACTCCTGCTCATATTACAAATCCTACTACTGATCATAATAGTAATAATAATAATGATCACTTAATGGGAACTATGAGTCAGTTATTGCACAATTACAGTCCAGAGAAAATATCCCTATTTCTAAAATTTATGCAAAACTTTTACTCCGAAGTGTCTGACATCCCATCGGAACAACTACAATGCTTGCTGAAAACAAAACTGATGACAACGACACCAACATCGCCAACAAAATGTTTAGATCTTCGACAAGATCAACAGGACAAAGAGGTGATTAACACGTCGAGGAGGACGACTACTACGAATAGTAATGAACTGTCCAACAATTATTTAGTAGATGATACGACTGGCGATCAAAATCATGCAGATTTACCGCCACAACTGAGAACAAGTGAACAGCAGTTGCAGAATATGAAAATATTAAAAAATTTAATGAAAGATTATGTAGAGATGAAGGATAGTGTATTGAAGAGCCAACAACAACAACAACAAAATGAAGTCAATTCCAGCGGCCTATTCACCAGTACTCATGATATGAAATATGCACAAAAAGCTTTTGAATTGTTGACTAGTGAATGTGGAACAAATAATTTGCTACCATTTATGTTACATAATCCAGGTAAGTTGACAAAAAAGAACAACAACGGCAACGGAACCAGCTCCTGAATTGGTTGTGTTTTTCTTGAAGTCTCTTTATGCGTTTGATTAAAATTTTCAGGTTATGTAATGTGTTCAGGGTACATTTACAACTTAAAGAAGGACTTCTACCCGTCAAGAAACTTAGGTCTGCATCACTTGTTTGGAGGCAGTCGGCAGGAAGGCCTGCTTGACCTAGGTTTCCTGCCTGTTGGCACTACTCATCAGTCAGCAAGACATACTATGGAGTTTTTGGAGGAATTTGTATCCCCTCTGGAGTGTGAACCCACGTCATCCAGTGCTGCAGTCAGAGACAGTACCACTGAGTTGTTTTGGCTAATAAATGACCTCCTGTAGGAGATAGTAATAGATGGAGTGATTAGTAATAATAATTCCCATTGTAACATTAAGAACACAATATTCAGTGAAGAGACTCTTTTCATTAATGAATTTATTGTCAAGCTGAACAGTCGTATATGATATGGTATTTTATATTAGGAAATTATATCCCGTGAGAGAATTGAATCAAAGGTGTGAATACATGAAATTATAATAACGGTAGTATAAAATGCAATTAAAATATTTGTGATTATAATCATAGTTAAATGTCAAGTAGCAAAACAATTAATGTCACGTATATAATAATTCATAAGATGTATAGATAGATGTTGGAAAGGGGTGTATAATTATAGGGTTAGTGGGCGAATATAAAACGTTACAAATTAACATAGTGTGAAATTTGATAAGATAGAATTCAATATTGTAAAAAATAACTTTGGATTTAGAATGACAAGTGGGACAAGTGGGAACAATTCAGATGCAGAATGGTAGTAATAGTAATGACAATCGTAGTAATGAGTGAAAGGTACATAGACTAACCGAATAAACACAATGAATAAATACATAAGTGTCTATCCCTCTACGGCCAAGATAGAATTAGGAATTGTACATGCTTTTTGTTAACACAAAGGTCTGGATTATATAAATGAATGGCCAAAGCCTCCACTGTCATCAGATGTTTATAACGAAGAAAACGCGACAAGTTAGGACTCTCGCCGACCATGCACATGGTCCGGGGTTCGATCCCCTGCCGGTGCACACCCGATATCTATGGTCGGCCTGAATTTGGGCTACCGATATCCATGCTGAAAATTCCATACTTGTACTGAAAAGTACGGTGTGGAATCAAGCTGTAAATCAAAATAAATAATAACATGGATTTGATAGGTGATCTTAAAATCACAATCAGGGTCGGTAGAGTGACAGGAGTCGATCAAGTGTTCTAGAATAGAGCTTCGCACAGGAGGTCAGTCGGCAACTCAAATAGCTGAGTGGTAGTGCCTCTCATGGTAACGATGGGTGACGTGGGTTCAAATCACAAATGAGGGATGAATTCCTTCAGTACTTCAAATGTTCTTTGTTGACTGATGAGTTCTAACAAGCACGAAACCCAGGTCAAGCAGAACTATCTGCCAACTATCTAACGTCAATTCAGACTGCATTGCCATGAAGAATCACACATAACATTAATTACTAACTAGTGACCAATGAATACACGATTGCAGTGTATTTCAGAAAATTCAGTAGGTGAATACTGTAGGTACAAGTATTCACCGGGCTCGATTGATGGTTTGCTGAATGCCAACTATATTTCCCTAATATAATTTATAACACACTGCCATTTTGTGTTCAATAGAATTGAAACTTTCATTTCATGTGCCACTGGTTAACGTGTGTGTGTGTGTGTGTGTGTGTGTGTGGATAAATGCAATTTTAATAAGAAAGGTGTTGGAAAATGTTTTGAAAGGATGAAGTAAATTTGAATGTGAGACGAAACGTTTTTTTAGTTTCATTGTATATACGAGTGATGGATATTAGTAGATAGGTACTAGCGACGTTAAACAGTAGTTTTTGAAAGGCAGATAGACGTTTAATATTGAATTTTAAGAGTTAGATAGTCATCAGGAAAACCTTCTTGACATGAGTTTTGAGTCTGATGGCACTTCCTAGTAGGGTTCTGTATTTAAAACCTTGATGGAACAAATATCTCGGCGAATAAAGCTTTGGTTACTTAGCGTTTGAGTGAGATGATTCACCACGATGCTGTATGACTTACAGAGAAATTGCTGCAAGAAAACACGACACAAACACTGATTGCATAATAGCACCCAATGTAGGTGACAGGACTATAACACTCAGTTTACCAATGAATTTTAATAGGTGGCCACTGACTAGTAAGGAAATAACAAGTTAGTTAGTTAGTTAGGTAGGTAGTTAGTTAGTTAGTTAGTTAGTTAGTTGGTTAGTTAGTTAGTTAGTTAGTTAGTTAGTTAGTTAGTTAGTTGGTTAGTTAGTTAGTTAGTTAGTTAGTTAGTTAGTTAGTTGGTTAGTTAGTTAGTTAGTTAGTTAGTTAGTTAGTTAGTTAGTTAGTTAGTTGGTTAGTTAGTTAGTTAGTTAGTTAGTTAGTTAGTTAGTTAGTTAGTTAGTTGGTTAGTTAGTTAGTTAGTTAGTTAGTTAGTTAGTTAGTTAGTTAGTTAGTTAGTTGGTTAGTTAGTTAGTTAGTTAGTTAGTTAGTTAGTTAGTTAGTTAGTTAGTTAGTTAGTTGGTTAGTTAGTTAGTTAGTTAGTTGGTTAGTTAGTTAGTTGGTTAGTTAGTTAGTTAGTTAGTTAGTTAGTTAGTTAGTTGGTTAGTTAGTTAGTTAGTTGGTTAGTTAGTTAGTTAGTTAGTTAGTTAGTTAGTTGGTTAGTTAGTTAGTTAGTTAGTTAGTTAGTTAGTTAGTTGGTTAGTTAGTTAGTTAGTTAGTTAGTTAGTTAGTTGGTTAGTTAGTTAGTTAGTTAGTTAGTTAGTTGGTTAGTTAGTCAGTTAGTTAGTTAGTTAGTTAGTTAGTTAGTTAGTTAGTTAGTTAGTTAGTTAGTTAGTTAGTTAGTTGGTTAGTTAGTTAGTTAGTTAGTTAGTTAGTTAGTTGGTTAGTTAGTTAGTTAGTTAGTTAGTTAGTTGGTTAGTTAGTTAGTTAGTTAGTTAGTTAGTTAGTTAGTTAGTTGGTTAGTTAGTTAGTTAGTTAGTTAGTTAGTTAGTTAGTTAGTTAGTTAGTTAGTTAGTTGGTTAGTTAGTTAGTTAGTTAGTTAGTTAGTTGGTTAGTTAGTTAGTTAGTTAGTTAGTTAGTTAGTTAGTTAGTTAGTTAGTTAGTTGGTTAGTTAGTTAGTTAGTTAGTTGGTTAGTTAGTTAGTTGGTTAGTTAGTTAGTTAGTTAGTTAGTTAGTTAGTTAGTTAGTTGGTTAGTTAGTTAGTTAGTTAGTTAGTTAGTTAGTTAGTTAGTTAGTTGGTTAGTTAGTTAGTTAGTTAGTTAGTTAGTTAGTTAGTTAGTTAGTTGGTTAGTTAGTTAGTTAGTTAGTTAGTTGGTTAGTTAATTAGTTAGTTAGTTGGTTAGTTAGTTAGTTAGTTGGTTAGTTAGTTAGTTAGTTAGTTAGTTAGTTAGTTAGTTAGTTAGTTAGTTGGTTAGTTATTTAGTTAGTTAGTTAGTTAGTTAGTTAGTTAGTTAGTTAGTTAGTTAGTTAGTTGGTTAGTTAGTTAGTTAGTTAGTTAGTTAGTTGGTTAGTTAGTTAGTTAGTTAGTTAGTTAGTTAGTTGGTTAGTTAGTTAGTTAGTTAGTTAGTTAGTTAGTTAGTTAGTTAGTTAGTTAGTTAGTTGGTTAGTTAGTTAGTTAGTTAGTTGGTTAGTTAGTTAGTTAGTTAGTTAGTTAGTTAGTTAGTTAGTTGGTTAGTTAGTTAGTTAGTTAGTTAGTTAGTTGGTTAGTTAGTTAGTTAGTTAGTTAGTTAGTTGGTTAGTTAGTTAGTTAGTTGGTTAGTTAGTTAGTTAGTTAGTTAGTTAGTTAGTTAGTTAGTTAGTTAGTTAGTTAGTTAGTTAGTTAGTTAGTTAGTTAGTTAGTTAGTTAGTTAGTTAGTTAGTTAGTTAGTTAGTTAGTTAGTTAGTTAGTTAGTTAGTTAGTTAGTTAGTTAGTTAGTTAGTTAGTTAGTTAGTTAGTTAGTTAGTTAGTTAGTTAGTTAGTTAGTTAGTTAGTTAGTTAGTTAGTTAGTTAGTTAGTTAGTTAGTTAGTTAGTTAGTTAGTTAGTTAGTTAGTTAGTTAGTCAGTCAGTCAGTCAGTCAGTCAGTCAGTCAGTCAGTCAGTCAGTTAGTTAGTTTGATCGATTATTATTTATTATCCTCTGATTTGACTGGTGGTAATAATATCTTCCATATCTCTGGTATTTGCGTTGAGTAACTTCTACTTCACGTGTTGGGTGTAGACTCAATTAACAAGGATTCTGCAATCAACGTCTCTCTCCATCAACCTTTTTTAGTTTTAAGAATTTAACCCTCTCCCACCCTATTGTGTGGTTGTGTGTTAATGGATGGAGTGCAATCGTTGAACTCTTTTCTAAATTACTTATATTCGTGGGGTCAACCATTCTTCCCTTAGCTAAATTCTTATGTTCTGATAATCTGACTACCCCCGCCCGATCTACTAGTTTGACCTATGTAGTTGACTTAACTCATAGTCATTGCAAGGTATTTTGTAAATTATATTATTTTGTTTAATTGGGTCAACCTACAGGATCCTTCAACCTGCAGAGCTTGTCCTACCTGAGTGAGTTTGTAGGTTTGAATGCCACCATCCTAATCCCTGCTTTATTAAGAATCCTACGTAGGGAGGGTCTCAGATGTCCCCTCCTCATATGGTAAAACTACTGTGCGTGCCTTATATTCATTCTTAATTATGTTATCATTATCAGTTTCAGTATTATTTTTATTTTGCCTTTGACCTTTTTAACATTCCTAATGAATTCTATAGGATAGTTAGTTATTTAACACCAACCAGCTTTTATTCTTCTACCTGTTTCATTTCATTGCTTAAGTTTTTTGTAGTACTACTTAATGTTGTTATTGCTCGGTTCGGTAGACCCTGAGCTAAGTCTACCTTCACAGACAGACAACGGATGAGATGAATTAAAGTCTAAATATCCAATATCAGAATGCATTGGCTTTTTATAAACGCCAGTGTGCAGTTTATCTTCTTCTATTCGTTTTATTTTACAATCTAACACCATATCTAATGCTCCTTGTTCATTTTCTGATTCAAATGTGAATTTTATTCCCTCTACTAGTGAGTTTATATGCGTTAAGAAGCTAGAGATATGTTATGTTTTTAACACTGTGAGTGAAAGTGTCATCCACATATCTGCACCATATTTTTGGAGTAGGATTAAATGTATTAAGAGCAATATTTTCCCAAATGTCCATAAATATATCTGCTACGATAAGGGATATTGGTGATCCATCTCATTGCTACACCTTATGTTCGTCTATATATTTGCCCCGGAATTTAAAGATAGTAGATGTGAAGCATATGTGAATTCTTAAAATAATTTCCTCAGTGGGTAGCTTCGTCCTATGAGTGAGTTCAGGATCTGCAGTTAGTTCTTTTTTAACTGCTTCTAAGGCCATATTGATTGGTTTGTTAGTATAAGGACTAGTTATATCAAAACTAACCATTCTCTAATTGAATGTTATTTAGCTTCCTTTTCATTTCATATGAATTAGTTAGTCTAGAGTTTGAACGATTTCTAATGGGGCATAATATTAGAGCTAAGTGTTTTGATAATTCATACGCTGGCGTATTTCTGAAATCTACTATTGGTCGTATGGGGTAACCTGGCTGATGTATTTTAATAGTACCGCATATTCTACTAGCATTATTAGTTTTAGGCATTAAATTAAACCATTTTGACTCACCCAGTGACGGCTTCATTCTGCGTATTAAATCCGCTGTAGATTTCTTAATCTTATTCATTATTGTATCTACAGGCCTCTTAATTTCCTCATATGGACCCATTTCAATATGTACAGTGACTTTCTTGATATAGTCAGATTTATCCAAAACTGCCGTAGAGTTTCCTTTATCAGTTTTTGCGATGACGATGTTTTTATCCTGTTTTAGACTAATTAGGGTTAATTTTTCCGATTTTGTTAAGTTTCATTTTGCCTTCTTTTGATTTTTCAGGGTTAGTGCACATTGTGTTGGAACCTCTTCTGCTGTCGTCTTATCTAATGAACTTAGTGCTACTTCTATGTTAGGAATGACATCCTCTGGTTTTAATTTATTACGTTGAAATTTAGTCCTTTCTCAAGTACTTTTATCTCAATAGAGCTTAGTTCCCTTGATGAGAGGTTGATCATCCATTTTGTCCTGTCAATAGAGGACGAAACGTTGGAGTCAAATTCTTCATTTATTGTGTTCTTTTCTTCTCTTAGTTAGCATAACACTGTGAGACTTTATCAAAATAAATTTTACCCATAATAGAATTCCACTCTACTACAGAGCACAAGTTCTATTCTAATATCAACGACACATCTTACAAGTTTGCTAAGGCAAAATATCTCAGTCAGTCCCACAAACAAGCGTAACAATGCGATATTCTCTAGATTACTTATTATACCAATTAAGCTTTACAAATTAAGTCGCCGATACTTCAATTAGAAGCCATTTAGGATCATCCTATACGATTATAAGGGTCACTTCTGAAATTTTCAACGAACGATTTGTATTTGTCACAAGTTCCGCTTTATTTGCTACTTTTCTGCTTCTCTCTAGCCTCTGGTTATCCTTCAATACCAATTTATAACCGTAACAACTATCCGTCAAAACAATGTCGACGTCGTAAAGCAAGAACTGTATTCAGCGATCATCAGTTAACCGGTTTAGAGCATCGTTTTGAAACACAACACTATCTGTCTACACCAGAACGTATTGAATTGGCCAATCGGTTGAATTTATCTGAAACACAAGTACGTAGAAATGTCAAGTTTTTGTTGTTGTTGGAAAAAGGTTAATACTTTATTGAACTCAATTTTAACTGATTAAAAATGCTCATTAAAATTTTCAAAAGAATAGACACGGAACAAAGAGTACTCTTTTCGATAAATTCATCATCAGGCTCTACAGTTATATATACACATTATAGTGAATGAATGAATTAGTCTTATGAACGACATTAATGTTGTTTAAATAACATCAAATCAATAATATTAATAGATTACAGCTGAATAACATCAACGTAAAATAAACTGAATGTCAGAAGAATTAGGAAAGATAATAGCACAAATTCATGAGTTTATAGTCTCCGCTGAGGGCCAGGGCAGTAGTAGTGGCTGGCTGGACTTGCTTCTTTTGAACACAGAGCACTGGTTGTTTGAGGCGAATTGCAATAGCCTCTGCTGTTTGGAGCATGCGGTGCTTCGACGATTTTGGTAGTTTGTTAGGCACCCGGTATATTATAGAGAAGGATTCTTCTACGCTGGCTTTGTGACCAGTTTGCACCAGATGGTCCAATATCGAAGTGTTAATGGCTTTTACTACACCTTCACTTAGCCATAGTGGGATATGTTCACGAGAGAGCACGAAAAATCAAGTTCCCAGAGCAACGGCCAATATAACTCGCTCCACAAGCACAGTTGAATTGGTAGATACAATTTGAAGTGGCTAGTCTAGGTACTTCATCTTTCAGTCGAGGTAGCACCATCGGTCGTGCAGAGAATAATACGTGCAGTTCGCCAGCATTAAAAGTTCTTTGAACTGATTTTCTTAATTTCTTCGTAATTATCTCGCTTGGTATATCGCCCATGAATTGTAGTCGTATATAAAGTGGCTTCTTGTTTACAGACAGTGAGTAGTCCTTTTCCGCTTTCTTTGTCATGTGTTTCTTGATAAATCTCTCGGGATAACCATTTTCGATCAAAGTATCATATACAATGCTTAATTCATCTTCAATTACTTCCTCTGAGCATATAGCTCTAACTCTGTGGCTGAGGGTCTTCACTAAATTTCTTTTGTAATTGATAGGAACGAAGCTGTGAAAGTGTGTATATTGTCCTGTCCAAGTACTTTTTCTATGCAAATTTCTTTTTATGCTACCATCTGGTTTTCTTGTAAGTAGGACATCCAGGAAGGCAATTCTGTCTTGGGATTCCTCTTCGCATGTGATTTTAGATTTTTCCGGTTGATTGATTGGACCGAATTGCTCAGTCGTCAGGTTGACATGTCGGCTTTTTGTACAGATGCTTCGATGATGTATGGTCATGTAGCTAGAAGTCACTTGGTAGGTTTGAGCCTCGGTGGAACAAACATCACTCACTGAGGAATGCAGGTATATGCAGATGACGAGTCCCATACAGGACGAAATGCACATCTTGGATTCCACCGCTACTAGTCACCATCCACCAATTGATTTCGATACTTTATTCAAATTAGCTTTGTGTTCATTTGTGCGTTGATTTTCTTCTCTGCTCTCGACTTCATCAGAGCTCCCATTTAATCTGGATAAATATCAAGACCAGTGGAAATTCGGAGGAAGAATGTCGTCACCACGTTAAACAACAGATCTTCCTAGTATTATGACTACTGATCCATACTGAACTCTTCTATTAGGATATCACAATGGTTAGAATTCCTCAGGAACCAACGTAGTTAGAGAGATCATTCAAACCCAGCCCTGGAACACTGGAAAGCTGTTTTGTCCTAGTTTTTGGGAGTCTTCCGTAGTGTGAACCCACGACCTCAAACAACAGGGATCGAACCTGGGACCTACAGGTCATAAGACCAAGTTCGCTGACCACTCAACCACTTGAGCTAGAATCCACTGACCTGTGGGTCTTAATTTTAATGTCAGGACGAATTGTTTTGAACGCATAAAGGTAGTTTAAACTGCCTAATCGAAAGGGCTTTTATGAATCTTAGGATACGCCCCAAACACCTTTTGTAGATGGGTTTAAAAGAGGTGCAGACATCAGTTTTATATGTTTCACAATAATGGGGTTCAAGAGATTCGATTAGCCTCTGAAAACCACACTTTCAACGGTCAGTAAGTCTTTCTTATATTCATGTGACCACATATACATTTAAATTGCTAGATAGATTAAGATGTAACATCATTTTTTTCGTATTTTCTAAGAACTTAGATGGACATTTGGGCTTAACATTCTCAATTATTCGGATCTTAGCTGCATAAAAAGCCTGTTTGACCACAGTGTTCAATCTTTGTCTAGTTACCAAGCTGTCACGATTACCCATGTAGAGTAGCTTGATATACGTGTATCCCTGTGACAGGTCAGTCAAAGAATCAGTCTTGGTGTTCTGACTACTTTATATCTCCTTATGAAGTTCTCTAGATAACTGCTATCAACCAGAACTTCTGTCAGTTTTCGTTCCTCATCTTCAAGTGTATATCATCTGCGCTTATACACTGAATCCTACTAAAGAGGCTCTTTTGTACCGCACACGAGACAGAAGCTTTGGTAATTAAGATACTGTCCTGTCCAGGTAGGTTTTCTAATAAATAGATCATTGTATTGATCCATCAGGCCACCGATCAAGCAATATATCTGGAAAAGAAAAACAGTTATCCTTCTAACTTTGCTAATTCGTGTTATAGTGCTCGCCAACCTCAACGAATGCTTTCGATGAGGATCCCCTCCACACCTTGACACATGATGGACACATCAATGAACAACTGGCGATTGATATTTAGACATCAATTAGACAGATCACTGAAAATTAGCACGGTATACTGGACACCGTGTGTGTCGGTGGCATAGCGATTAGGACGCTCGCCGACCATGCACATGGTCCGGGATTCGATCCCCGGCCAGCGCACTCCTTTACCTTGCTAAGCCAGAAATAATGCTGATGAAGAGGAAAGGTTAGGCATGAGGCTAGCAACCCCATTCTGTAAAATAAACACTGCTACAGAAACTTCAAGCCACTAGCTTGAATCCCTATGTTCCACTGGGGAACGTGAAGGAAAGAAAAAATACTGGACACCTATTTCGTCCTATTTTGGGGTATTTTATCAAACTGTTATCGAGCATTACTCATAATAAAATATTTCTCTACTTCGTGTTAATCAATCTTTGTGTTGTTGTTTTTTAAAAATTTCCCCCATCAAGGTCAAGACATGGTTTCAAAATCGTCGTATGAAACATAAAAAACTGAAACGTTGTATTCCTGATACACAATTATTTACACAGAATAACAACTCTTCATCGAAATGTCCAAGTTCAACTGGCGGTGATGATGAAGATGATGATGATGTTGGTGGTGATGACGGTGTTGAACAGGATGAAGATGACAGATGTTCAAGTGTTGGTGAAAATCCTAATGTAACAGCAGCCGCGACAAAAGCAACGACAACTGCTCCCCTGTCTTCTCCCACTATAAATGATAACACTGACACTGCATCAAATCACAGAAATCAAGAGAACATCGACAATGATAATGACAATAATATTAATATTGATGCTGAGGCGGGACAATACCCTCAGGTGAACACCAACAACAACAACACAGCGGCCACCGCCGCCAGCATACATTCAACTGGATCTACAAAATTAGACGACCCCTCGAAAAAGTATCATTCAGCATTCTTGTCTACCGTTTCATTGATATCTTCACCATCTCTGACAACCATCACCTCCACCTTACCGTTTTCATCATCATTTCCGTACAACTGTTATACATCATCAGCATCTAATAATAATACAGCTCCTAGAAGTTGGACAAATTTTTCATCACAACTTAGAATGGATGATTTGATCAAAAACTTTTTAACTTATGATATGATCGATAAGGGTTATTTAAGATCCACTCTGGACTATATTAACAATAATATTAGTGATGTTAATAATGCTATTCCGCTTCAAAACGATCAGCATTACACAGCACATAATCTCAGTATTAACAATAATACACTGTTAAATGACGAATACTCACTGAAAAAGTAGACAGACCATGTATATTACCATCACCTGACCCCCTCCCTCTTTATCTCTCAATCGTATCTTTATTAAACAGGTTGATGAAGAGGGGAATGGATTATGAAGACAGAATCATTTAATTTCTCCTCATACAACAGTATGTTACGTAACACTGGCCCACATAAAATAAATTCAACAATATGTTATACATGAATACTGTTTAACCTGTAACAAGATTGATGCTATTCCTGATAATTTTAATTTGATTAAACCTTTGCCATCATTTTAATCCTTTTTTTTGTTTCGAATAGATCCAGTGAACAATAGGGATGATTACGTAAGACTGGGGTGTAATAACAATGGTATAAGTTATTTAGAAAAGTCATTTTAACTAGATAATATCAAATTTAATTACATACTGGAAGATTTTAATTAAAAAACTAGTGAAAATCCAGCAGAAAATAATGGAGAGTTGTTTCGTCCTTCTTTGGAACTCTTCAGGTGTACTCACACTCATGATCCCCTAGGGATTGAATCCAGTATCTTCAGCAATGAGATCTAACTTCTGTCATTTCGAGATATACGTGGTGTGATCGCCAGTCAGTGTCATCTGTGAGTATTTATCCTCAAACCCAACTCGGTGAACCCTACCGGTCACGAATTCTGACTAGAAGATCAGGTAACTTCATCTTGCAGTAAGTCACTGACTGACGACTGACTGGTTTCAACATAGAACACTACACAGAAGTGCAGCAGTTCGAGTCGCCACATTCCATGTAGCACACAAAGGTAGACAAAAGAGAGAGAGAAAAGAGACTGGAAAGAACAATAATAAGCAGAAACGTGAGGGAGATAGAATAGTAATATCGAAAAACAGTAGAGTTCAATGGATACGTCACATCACAGGGAGCGAATGCATCTATGCCACTGAGAATGATTTTGAGCCATATCACCAATTATCTTCAGTCTCCATTTGGTTCTTACCATCCCGAAGAGCCCAATCAGGAAGTCTAAAACTCCATAAGTGGCTTAAGCTAACTGTTGTGGATTTCATTGACTGATGAAGCCATGTTTTGGTTTGACCACCACTTGCCCTTTTCCAACCTGATCCTTTGTCAGCTAACATCGCCCATCGAGGAAGGCGATCGATGGCTAGACCAGGCACGCGCAACACATGACCTAAGCATCTCAATCGGTGTAACTTCACAACCTCGTCGATTGATTCCCCCTCCTTACCTAACAGTTGACGCCTAACCTCAACATTACTCACCCTACTACATCTAACATCGAATACGGGAGATAGAACGCAGGCAACTATGATCAAAGACAGTTAGTCTTTTTGTACCTTCCACTTTTAATGGCCATTTCTCGCTCACAGACATAAGAAGACTTGACGAACTGCTGAGTAGTATATATCTCCTTTGATCAATAGCTGGATATCACATATACGCCAGAGACTGCGTAAGTTAGCGTATGCCAAACGAACCTTCTATGTCCGTACTGAGATTTTGTCAGTAATTAGTCCGTAGGGGTTGATGCGAATTCCCAAATAAGTCAAGCGGTCGACACGCTCTACCACTTCACTCCTACCTACCTTTAAGCTAGGAGTCAATGTAGTCCAGTTCTGTAGCATTATCTTACATTTAACAGGAGAAAATCGCATGCTAAACATTCGAAAATTTCTGCTCAAGGCGTTCAGAAGACTCTGAGTCTTATCGACGTCTTCACTTAGGAGGACTATATCATCTGCATATTCTAAGTCAACAAGATTATTCTCTGGTAACAAATCAATCCATAAGTCACTGAAGTCATTGAGCGTCAGTTCCATTAGTACATCTGTGGTGAAATTAAACACAAATGAGTACAGTAGGCATCCCTGACGTACACCAGTGGCTGTCATCAATTCGGATAACAACTCCCCGTAAGCTCTAACCTGGCTGCATGAGTTCGAGTAGAGTGCCTTGATTAGTGCGATGTACCTTCTCGGCACTCCTTTCAACGCCAAACATTGACACAGTACGTCTCAGTCGACGTGATAAGTCATTAACGATGAAGAGTCCCAACCAAGGACGAAATGTCTATCTAGTACTCCTTACTAGTCTCAAGAAGTTCTCTACCTGATGTCAGTCAGCTCGTAACCAAAACTGGAATCAGTCAAATCCCTACAAACCAACACTCTAAAATAAATAGTAATAATAATAGTAGTAGCAATTACTTGTAATGCTATTATCTACTGGTCTTTAGTCTCTACGGGTTACTAGGGAACAGACTCTTGCAATGAAATCACAGGCTTTTCGGGAAAATATACAGTCTCAAGAGAAATTTTACTAAAGTTTCCTTGAGAAAGTTAGAAATGTTTAGATCTCAATATATTTAAATCACTTATTTTTGTAAATAGCTCTCCAAAGATGTTTCGTCCCAGCTTGGAACTCTTCATCGGTACTCACACATAACCCTACCACACTTCAAGCCCAAGACCTATAGCGCATACTTGGTATCGGTTGGAGAACCAGGGAGTACTGGATAGCTGTTTCGCCCTATTTTAGGCCTCAGGCAGTACACATCCATGATCCTACCCAAGAGCGACTGAACCTAGTAGCTGGAGGTTGTAAGGCGAGCTCGTTGGCCAGTGAATCCTTGGGATAGGATCCAGTGGCTCATGAATTCTAACCTCATTCAGCCAGCGACTGTTAGCGCTACTACATTCTATCCCAGCGTTTGACTGGTCAACGAGCCCACCTCGTAGCCTGAAGGCCATAGGTTCGAACTCTAGTGAACAGAGTCATAGGTGCATACTTCTGGGGACCCCAAATGCGGGGAAACAGTTGTACAGTACTGCCTAGATTTTAATGGTTCTCTAACTGGGATCAGTCCATGATCAAACTTGAAACCAAGAAAATTTCTACAAAATAACAATGAAAAAGACAAATATGTACACCATTTAATGATTAATTTACAAATAAACTGTATCAATACGACTGGATAGTTTCTCTATGAGTAACAGTGATAAAGCGAAATTCAGTGGGCCTTTAAAGTGTACTAGTGGTCCAAAGGGTTGAATGTCCGCCGACCAACCAACCAACCAACCAAGTCATTCAGAGTTCAGTGCTCGGCCGATGCACTCCGCCTAAGCTTGCTTAGCCGGTATTAAGCCCGTTAAAGAGGGAAGTTTGAGCAAGGCGGTGTCAACCTGACTCTGCAAAAAAACTATCTCTGCTAGAACTTTAAAGCTCGAGCTGGCAAAGATGACAAGAGCGTCCAACTGAACCAGTGTGGCTCCCATCCACAGTCGATATAATGTATCTTATAAACTACTTCGCTACTACGGTGTGCCACCGACAATTACACATCTCATCCAACAGTTGTACGACAATGCTGCACGCCAAGTAATCCACAACGGGAAACTTACGAAATCCTTCGAAGTGAGGACAGGAGTAAGACAAGGCTGCCTACTATCGCCAATGATTTTCCTGATTGCAGTAGACTGGATAATGCGACAAACAGCGGGCAACAAGGAAACAGGCATAAAATGGACCCACACAAAAAACTTGGAGGATATGGACTTCGCCGACGATGATATATGTCTGATTTCCCACAAACTGGAAGATATGCAAGCGAAAAGCAACAAGTTGGCAGAAGAAGCATCAAAGATAGGACTTCAGGTGAACATAGAGAAAACAGGTGATGAAAATTCCTGGACAAGAACAACAACAACAGACAACGATCAGCATAAATGGAAGGAACCTGAAGGAAACAACCTCTTTTGCCTACCTGGGAAGCATCGTTTCAACTACAGGCGGATCGAACTGACGAGGATATCAAAGCAAGAATCGGGAAAGCAAGACAAGCTTTCACTACTCTCAAGTTAGTGTGGAGGTCAACAACTCTCAGCATGAAAAATAAGATCCGGATTTTCAACTCCAATGTGAAGCCAATGCTACTCACTATACGGATCAGAGACTTGCACTGCGCGTCATAAAGAGCATCTCAAACAAACTACAGACCTTCATTAACAGTTGTCTTCTCTCAATAATCAAGATCAGGTGGCCAAAAAAGATCAGCAACAGAGATCTCTGGGGGCGAACCAACAGAGCAGGAACCGATTGTGAAACAAATAGGCAGGAAGAAATGGAGATGGATTGGCCATAATCTGAGGAAACAAAGCATCAAGTGACATCACTAGACAATCCATCGCTCGAGTGGAACCCGAAAGGGAAGCGGTGAGCTGGTCGTCACTGCGAGGGTGTGTGAAGAGGAGATGAAAACGTGTGGGCAGACTTGGAACCAGATAAAGACTCTAGCAGAGAATCGAACGCAATGGAGACGCACGGCTGAAGCCCTTTGTTCCTCTAGGAATTGAAGGAAACAATAATAATAACAAATAATAATGGGATTGTCATCTTTCCTTGCTACATTTTCTGGTTTACATAATTTATGCAATAAAGTGATAAGTTAACTTGTGATCCACACTTATGTCAAAGTGTAAAGATAAGGGATTTAATAACTAGACATATTATAGGAGGGTTATTCAAATTTAAGTTAGCAGTTTTGCTAACTTAATCACAGACTGATATCAGTTACAGAATCATTGGAAACTACCAGAGGGTACTGGACAGTTGTTTCATCCCGGTATGGAACTCTGCAGTAGTATTCACCCACCGGGGTTCGAACCCATGAACCTTCAGGGCACCAGACAAAACTCGTTAACCATTCAACCACTGGGACGGAATCTAATGACCTATGAATTCTAACCTCTACCAATTTGTGATTTTATCGAGACCACTGCCGCAAAGTGTGCGTCACTGGCTCAGCGGTAGAATGTTCACTAGCCGCCATGCAGCTGGTCCGAGGTTCGATCCCCGGACGACAACAAATATTATATTTTATAACTGTAAGAACCTGAAAAGAAATTACTGAAAAGAATATTCTTCGTTCAGATTGATTTGTTTTTACATGTTTGGCCAACAAATCTTATCCTTACAAACGAACTCTTGAAAATTAATCTAATGCTCGCTAGTGACTTGCTACAGGACTGAGTCTGCTGGAGTTTTACTGAGAAGTCGTGACCAGCGAGTTCCATCGATTCGGGCGTGAAGATGGATTTCCCACCGACGACGGTGGCTAGTAGTCGCGGTAAAATCACGAATTGGTAGAAGTTAGAATTCATGCGTTGGTCATTGAATCAGGTAACGGTGGCTGAATGGTATACGAGTTCGCTGGCCTTGTAATCGGAAGCTTGTGGGCTCGAACCCCAATGATTGGTTGCGTACTCATGATGAGTCCGAAACTAGGACGAAACAGCTGTCCAATACTCCCAGGTTTTCCAGTGGTTCTCTAACTGATGTCAGCTCAGGATGAAATCCTCCACGCAAACAAATATTATACTTTATAATTGTAAGGACCTGAATAGAAATTATTGAAAAGAATATTCTTCATTCAGATAGACCTTTAGTTAATTTTATTTTCTGTCTCCATGATGTATTTCGCAATACGGGAAACAGGTAGTTTGTTCCCACCATTAATGACATTGATATCCATTCCTAAAAATGTTCTTTTTCCATCATTAACTAACTACTCATGCTTAATATTAGTAGTTTGAACGTTTAAGGAAAATGTTTTGGTTTGAAAAAAAACAACTAACACCCATTAAAACCATGCATCACTGAATAATTATTTCGAAATAGTTTCAAATTTATCAGTATATCCGTGAGTCTTCGTACTGTAGATATTAGGACATTTAAGTCAGCTATTGCACAGGAATTTGGTGATGTATATCAAGTAATTAAATAATTCGTAACATGGTGATTCTGGTATCGAGTAACCGCCTAAATGTCATTTTCTTCATAAAATTAATAACATAATCAATAAACTGGATATTACCCATGATATTAAGACATGAAAGAGAAAATGGAAGTTTGAAAGTGCCTCATGACATATATTTAACAAAACAAACCACATAGATCAGCGAAGAGTCTCTTTCCGGCGGCGAATTCATTTTCTTAGCTGTACAATCGCAAATATATTTGTGTTATTTTGTATGTTTGTGTTCATTAAGTTTGTCAGACAAAAATACAATTGGTTATAGGTATTTTAACTAAAAAGGTGAAGATTGGTAATTGGAGTTACGTAATACAAAATCAGTCAAGAAAATTAGGTGTTATTAGAATTAGAGTAGTACAAAAGGTGATGAGTTGTCACAAACAGTTGTTAAAAAAAGTTATGTAATAATATGAGTAGTTTGATGAGTGAGTTTTACTCAAGATACACATAGGAACAAAGTAGATAATTCTGACAACAACAATGACCCCAATCTATTGCTGAATACATTTAACTGCTTCCATCCAGCAATAAAATTCACTCTTGAAACGAAAAACGAGTCAAAAATTCCGTTTCTTGATGTGGAACTAACAAGAAGAACTGATGGGAGCCTAAGAAGATCCATCCATATAAAACGTACTTGGAATGGTCAACTAACAAGCTTCTGTAGCTGGGTACCCATTCAACAAAAGCGGAATTTAATTAAATCACTTGCCACCCACATCCAACGTATCTGCAGTCCCGAAGCTCTGGAAACAGAATTAGATATTCTAAGAGAAATTTTCATCCAAAATGGATGCCCAATAAGATTCATCGATAAAAATATCAAACCGAGAATTCGGAGAAACGAAACTTTAATTGTGCCGAAAAAGAAACTCTGCATGAACTTGGATTTAAAGGAAGATTTAGCAAGCGATATTCTCAAGAGAAGGATCACATCATCTCTGAGAAGAACATTCTTTGCAGCAACGCTAATAATAGTGTTCTCCAGTCGTCCACTGATCCCGTATCTGACCACTTCTGTGTGCATATATCAGTTCACCTGCTGCTGTGGAGCCAGGTACATCGGTCGTTCGACGCGCACCCTGTCCAAGAGGATTCAAGAACACTATCCAGCATAGTTGCGAAAAGGCAATAGTGGTGCAATAAGGAGTGCTATAATTGAACACCTGGTTGACACTGATCATTCCATTTCAACAAAGGCCTCCGGCTTCAAAGTAATCTACAGAGTCAAGAACAGCCTATCAGAGGCAATACGGTTTCGCCTTCTTTGTATAACTGAAGCTCTGACCATTCACACAGGAAAACCCGAGCTGTGTATACAAAAGAGGATTACTCAACCACTTCTACTGTCTCGGTAACAACCTTTTTTATTTGATTTAATTTTTTATTTCGATGACTTAATTTTGTTTCTTCTCCTGTTCTTTAATTGCTTATAATTCTTGTATTCATTTAGAACTCTTACGTAATTTCGTATTATCTACTTTGTTCCTATGTACATCCTGAGTAAAACTCACTCATCAAACTATTGATATTATTACATAATTTCTTTTAACAACTGTTTGTGACAACTCATCACCTTGACTGATTTTGTATTACGTAACTCCAATTACCAATCTTCACCTTTTTAGTTAAAATAACTATAACCAATTGCATTTTTGTTTGACAAACTTAATGTACACATACATACAAAATAACACATGTATATTTACTATTGTACAGCTAAGTGTGAGTGAATTCGCCGTTGAAAAGAGACTCTTCTCTGATCTACGTGTTTTGCTTTCATTAATGCCTGGATGGGGATTATACATGAATATATTTAACAAACACATGTTCTACAAGTGATGAGATAACTTAGTTGAATAAAATTAATAACCGGAAATTGAAAATACAGGCTGGGTGTGAGGGCGAATATTCTTCCGTTATATAGGTTGGAGGTGGCATTAAAACTCAAGAACTATCAAAGGTGAGAATTCATGAGAGACTTGATTCCATCACAGTGGTTAATGACCTCATCTCTTAACCTGAGGGCCCACGGTTTGATTTGTCTTAGTCACCCAATGCTGAAGAGTTCCAAGTAAGGACGAAGCAATTGTTGACTACTCCATACTAGTTTTCAATCATCCTCTTATTCAGAAAAACCAACAGACAATTTCTTCTTCTGCCTCTACAATTATATATATATATGTTTGTATACATAGAGTATCCTAGAATAATCGTCATTAACAATATTGGTGTTTTTAACTACTGTCGATTTGTTAAGTAAGATCAATGCAATTATAGTTTATTTAAGACGCTTTAGTTATAATAAGCATAAAAATGTAATAGTAAATAGAATATCAAATAAAATTATGGAAATTTCCACAACAAATTGAGGATCATTAGAACCTAGGTGGCCAAGGTAAGGACAGTGTCTGAACCAACTTCTTCCTTTGGATACATACATAAGTTAGGCTTCTTAATTAAGGTGGATTCCAAAAGCCGGCCTCAGCAATATGAAGAAGATGAACTCTTAAGGTAAATTTAAGATTCGTTGGTATACGGTAGATGACTCTGAAAGCCACCTCATTAACATCAATCTTGTGTTCTGTATCCACAAGATGAGATAGAACAGAGCTATAGATGGATTTTGCTTGTCCTTTACTTAACCACTTTACAGGATGATGTTCGGAAATCCGATGAGAAACACACCTAATTGTACGGCCTATGTAACTGCCTCCATAGGAGCAATCAAACTGATAGATACACATATTACTGATATTAATCCATGACCAAACAGGTAGACAACATTAATTCGTACCCCACTCTGGTCTTTTGCTTTATTGATTCACGGCAGTATGATAAGTTCATCGTCTATATTCAAATAGGGACAATAAATTGCTGAATACTTAAATACACTTGAGTCCCGATATTTTCAAATGTTTACTTGGGCCACGAGAGCCAGCAAGTGGTCTAGTGGAAAACGCTTTGGCATTTGAAACTTTGGGCAGTGGGTTCGAGCCTCGATGGGAACATCATCACTCACTTCGGAATGCAGGTACGTCCAGATGACGAGTCCCAAATAGGACAAAATAGGCGTTTTCCTGGATTCCGCTGCTAGTCACCATCCACCAATTAAATACTATACTGTTTTTAGAAACCTCACATAATAAGCAAGAAATGTTGCCCCTCCCCCGCCACATACACACAGAAGAGTCTACTGCAAAGGTAATTATTCTCTCAAATATTAAAACATCTCGTTGAGTATAACCATTAGTTTATTTAAAATTTCACTCCATTCTGATATTTGTTTTTAAAAAGAACACTCATTAGACTACTGACAAAATATCATGTAAAATGCCAAAACAACCATTTTTTTTCTGTGCATAAAATATAACTCGCTTTGTGTTCATCAAAAATTATAATTCGCTCCAAATGTAGCGCAATTTTTTAAAACAAAAAACAACTGGAAATTTTAACATTGAATGAGAATATCAAAAATGCATACAGATTTCAAAATTGTAGCCATATTTGTAGTTATAGTAACAATTATTGTAAACAAATAGATGCCCTGATAATTTTTTTTCAAAGGAATCATAGAAATAATGTTGTGGAGAGTAGAATAGGATGGGTTAAGGAATACGGTGGATGGAATAAACTGACGAATAGTTCGTTGGATTACACATGCATACACCAGCTGTTCAGATTGGCTTAATCTTTCGATTCGTTCGTAAAATAATTAGGGTGAATAGAATTAATACCATCTGAAATGCAGAGAAAATGTAGGAAGTTAGTTTATAAAATGAAAAGCTTCCAATAATAATAATAATAATAATCTACTTTATTCCAAAAAAGACAGTACTTATAATACAGAATGGAATTCTCAGCATTTGTCACAATATTGCATCTGATTTACTCAAAATATAAATAAAATTAAAACAAAATTAACCAGAGGAATTTGTTCACATTTACGGTAGTATAAAGTCAAAAATATGTGAAGTACGAAATGAAAATAATAAATATAATGATAATAATAATAATAACTGTGAGTTTGTTTCAAACAGTATTGTCGATTCAGTTTGGAAATTTTAGCATGTTAGAGAGTATTGAATCTAGTGTTCTGTTGATATAGTATGGTGAAGGGAAATACAAAATGAACAGTTATAACACAGCTTAAATGATGTTCACGCTTATGAAAAAATAAACAAATAAAAACAAAAAATCGAGAGGATTCTAAATATAAGAGGAACAATAAAGCTTGATATTATAAGGGTGGAGAAAATGGTTTATTTACTAGTGGTAAGAAGATTAGTTAGTTCGTCCGTGACACTATTTTCATCACACAAAATACGTGCCAAATATGGTATAGTGGAATTTTTATACTTAGACGTACGTGCATAGAGTCTTTTGAAATGACTTCTTGCTTTACTCGAGGAGACACAAGGTTGAAGCTGCGGGTAACTAAAGTGGATATTCACAGTCTGACAAAATCAAGTGCTCATCGCCATTGACGATTGCAACGATATGGCCCAATGGGATACCACTCACCCTATTGACTGACAGTCTTCAGAGTTCTACGAAGTATGACATATTCCTTTTTAAGTAATCCAGGGAAGAATAAGGGTGAACAGTAAAAAAGAATAGGTAAGGTGCACGAGTTGACAACCTGTAAGAGGAGAAGTTGGTTGAGTTATGCCTGAGTCCCTTAACTTCTTAAATGTAAAAAGTCAGACGAAATATTCCTTTAAAAATCGCTTAGATGTATGGGAAGACCAGGATAGGTCAGAAGAAAGAATTAATCCAAGATACTTAACTTCAGACTTGATTTCTATATCACTATCATCCATTTTGCAATGGTTATAGGAATTAACAGTTTCATTTAACTTTCTTTTACATCGGAAACTTCATGCCTCTGAAGACTTGGCTGTCCCAGCCGAGGATGTCCAGCAACCCTGCTGTCAATGTCGGTGAATGTTGAGCAGTTTGTTTGTTCGACCTGGTTTCCATATTGGTGGGAGACAAGAAGGCCGTCATCGCTTAACTGTATACTGGTTGGCAGAAGATTGGAGAAATACGATCATAGCTATTGTTGTACATTATATTAACGTTTATTCACAGACTTTAGCACTGATTAACGACTGTAAATCCGTTTCTTTTTCGCTTGAAAAATAAATAATCATGTTGCCCAACCGTTTTCTGTTGTTCCCCGTCGGTTACAATATATAGTGTACTGAATATTAAGCTTAATCTTCTGAAACCAGCAGCAGGTCTAGGATCTCAACGATCCGGATATTTGACACCTGCTGTCTCCACAGAAAAACTTGCACCTACTGGTGTCAACCTCCAAATAATCCTGAGGTCTTACTTCGATAACTTGGACATTTTTTACTGGTGTACTTTCCTAATGACTTCCATACCGTTCGCTCTTAGCACACTGTGGAACTGGGTGGAAAAATAGGATTTCAGTAAATCGCCTTCCAGACTGTTAGACACTAAGATAGCCTTGGAAGTGCATCAGCAACGGAAGTTTCAACGAATTCGCCCACCTTCAAGGTGATGAAGAAGTCGACGCTTCCAGAAATCCCAGGTCATGTAACAGCAGAACACGGCAGCATCTGGTAGAGAAATTGTAATCAATAGCTATATGACCACCTTTGCCATCTCACCAGTGTCCACTTAGAGTCACTGGGAAATGTGGTCTGGAACACTCGATAAACTAAGGTGCCAACAAGCGCGCCTCAGACAATTCGTCAAGTGTGGGAAGTGTGAGGTGAAGTAGATTTGTCAGCGTCACTGCCGTTACTATCGGGTCTTCACCCGGTCCTGATTTCGTGGTACGGAACTACCTCATTGCCTGATGTCAAACTCCGCATCCATCCGTTCCACCAATAGCTTTCTGATCTCCTTCCGACTTGCAGGCTCCAAAACGTCGTAGGCCGCTTTTGCCCGACTTCTCAACAACGTCCGGTGTACAACTGTCTTTGCAGTCGTCCTTCAACGTCAACCAACTCAGCGACGGCTCTGAAATCTCACAAGATCCTCCACGTGTCTCCTTCCTTAAAAAAGGAGTAGGGCATGGTATCTTCCTTCGGTCGTAGGTACAGAAAATACAAATGGCACCAGGAGACGGTAGTATTTGGTAGCGGCATTGTTTATTGGCCAATCGATGTACAGATATGGCAAAATACAGAAACTCTGCACTGGAATCTCCATTTGCACATGCATAGTGCCCATTCTGTCCTCCTTTCATAATTTCTATGTTATTTCACAAGGATTTTTCACTTGTCCTTCTCGCCATCTAATCCGTTACTGGACTAATCAATATTCTTCCAAAAGACAACGCACATGCCCAACCAGTCTTATTACTGGCTTAGAGAGGGGAAAGGAACATGTCGGTGGCCGGGGATCGAACCCCGAACCACATGATGCGTGTTTGGCGAGCATTCTACCGCTGTGCCATCGACGCATGAAGTTGATGATGCTTAGTCATCAATAAGGAGCAATATATTAAATGACAATCACTAAATACCACTTACTTGAAATCCTACTACTCCACTGAATGTATAAGCGAATATATTGGCAAATGCTTTAACGTAACCCTCTATTATCTGCCAACATCCAACATGTACATTACTATTCTCTGGTGTAAATCGATCAGGACAACTGTCATCATTGATTTCTTGACTTTTATTCATCATTTTACAACAACTGATTGGATATTTAAATTCTGCGTAGTTTTCATGTTGCGCGCGTAAAAAAAGAAGAAGAAGAGGGAAATAACAGGAAGCGTAGAATTCAATCAATAAATAAAGATCGCTTGAGTTTATTGTTAAATAAAGCAAACAGAGCTATGAAGACTCTTTTTTCAGTTAAACTCCTTTTAGACGAAACATAAGGCTCCAAGTTTCAAGCTTGGACTTTGACGTTTCAGTAGATGTGGGTGTTGTCAAGTTATGGTAGCCTTACATCTGCAACCTTCCTCCCTTTTTCCTGAGCGTAGTATTGACTAGTGAATGAAATGAGGACTAGGATCGCACTGACTGGGGATCAAACCCAGAACTCTTGTGTGGTTGGCGAGCATCCTACCATGAAACAAGTATCTTGAAAAAGGTATTTTAAGAGCTAATTTGTAAGGATTTGATTAGTCTTTCAAGTTTGACCTCGGAATAATATCAGTTAGGGAATAATTAAAAACCACCAGAGAATAATGGACAGTTGTTTCGTCCCGGTTTCAGGCTCTTCATCAGCATTCATCTACTGAGGTTCCAACCCAAGACCTTCCGTTTACAAAGAAAGCTCGTAGACTACTCAAACACTGGAACTCTATCCAATGACAAAACTATGAATTCCAACTTCGGCAACTCTAAAGGATAGGAGCTTAAACCGAAACGACATACGAACGCACAAATGACCTTGTCAAAGACAACTTTGACCAATGAGAAGGCTCAAAAACAACAGCGCATAATTGTAAAAAATCGTTTATATAAAAGTAATGCAATGTTAAAATATAGTTACAATGGATAACGTTCTCGTAAATGTTGCAAAAAAGCTCCCAATTTCTCATAGGTGTCTTCATACTGATGTTAAACCAAGTTCTATACACTGACAAATTTTTGACCTTGCAATCATTCCTTATCCAAACAGTAATCAAAAACAACATCTGGAGCGAATTTACAACGCACAAAATATAGAGCATCCATAATAACTTCTAGAAACGAAAAGGCGTTCAGCAAAGAGTTACTCTTTTCGGCGATATCATTCTCAAGCTGTACAAACCGCAAATTTATAGTAATTTTTCTTGGCAACAAAAGGAATATTCCCAAAGATGTGTTAATGCAATTGTTAATTTCTGACAACAAATTACGTAATTTAGAAGGCGTTAATCGATTAGAAACTAAAATAAAGTTACAAAAGTAGGTTGGGTGACGTAATCTAATTGCTAGGGTTCAATGAAAAATGAATGAGAGTCAAGTTAATAGTCTGAGTAGAATTCACTTGAAAATGAATGAGAGTTAAGTTGACAAGCTGAGTAGAATTCACTTAAAAATAAACGAAAATGGAGTTAGTAACAGTTGTCAACGGAGATTCTTCAGCAGAAATACTGAGAAACCGCCTGTGCCGCTCACCTTCTTCGCAGCTGAACTCAGACTAACTTTCTCTACGAAACCAATGATTCGCACGAACGTGAAGGATAAGCTTCCACTGGGGGCCTCATCAATGTGCATCTACCAATTCACCTGCTCATGTGGAGCGAGGTATGTTGGCCGTACCCAGCGTTTGCTATCCAAACGAATCAGCGAACACTTACCTTCATGGTTTTATAAAGGAGAAAGAAGATCCCCCCGCCACAGCTCTATCCTAGAACACTTAATCGAATCCGGACACCAAGCAAACCCACAAAACAACTTCTCAGTTATCTACACAATACGTGGGAGTCTTGCCAAAAGAGTACGAATTAAACTTCTTCAAACTGCAGAAGCAATGGCAATTCACATATTGAATCCTGAACTCCGCATACAAAAGAAGTTTGTTCAGTCACTAAATCTACAATGGTCCTGATCTATCTCAACACCAAATACGTAATTTTGTCTTACCTCTTTCTTCTTTGTTTGTCTGTTTCTTAGTTGCATTATTTTCTACCCCCACCCTCTATTAAATCTCTACCCTCATGACGACTGTTACTAACTCCATTTTCGTTTATTTTTAAGTGAATTCTACTCAGACTATTAACTTGACTCTCATTCATTTTTCATTGAACCCTAGCAATTAGATTACGTCACCCAACCTACTTTTGTAACTTTATTTTAGTTTCTAATCGATTAACGCCTTCTAAATTACGTAATTTGTTGTCAGAAATTAACAATTGCATTAACACATCTTTGGGAATATTCCTTTTGTTGCCAAGAAAAATTACTATAAATTTGCGGTTTGTACAGCTTGAGAATGATATCGCCGAAAAGAGTAACTCTTTGCTGAACGCCTTTTTTTTTCTATGACTGAATGGGAATTTTCAAATTACTTCTAGAAACAACACAGTCAGCTGATTGGTTTCTCAAGGTCGTTTGTGCGTTCGTAGGTCGTTTCGGTTTGGGCTCCTATTCTTCAGAGTTGCCCCAACTTCTACCAATTCGTGATTTTAGCACGATCATCAGACAATGTCATCAGTGAGTATTAGTCTGCACATATGACCTGTTGGACGCCACGACTTCTCACTAGAATTGTAGACAAAGTGGTTCAGTCACTAGCGAGCATCAGAAGAGTCCCAAACTAGGACGAAACAGTTGTCCAGTATAAATCCATGATCAAACTTAAAACAAGTCAAATCCCTACAAATTAGCTATTGAAAATTAGTCCGATGCTCACTGATGACTGGCTGCAGAACTAAGTTGACTGGAGTTCTAGTGAGAAGTCGTGACCAGTAAGATGCACCAGCCAGGGTTTGCGGACAAATACCCTCTGATGATATTGGCTGGCGGTTTCTCTAAAAATGTTACGAATTGGTAGAAGTTCGAATCGATGGGATGGTCACTGGATTCTATCCCAGAGGCTCAATTGTCAACAAGTTAGCCTCGTAATCGAATGCTCCTGGGTTCGAAACCCAGTGAGTGCATAGTGCCAAAATGTGTCCCAGAGTAGGACGATACAGCTGTTCAATACTCCTTGGTGGTTTTCAGTTCGTGATGAAACTTGAAAGGTATTTTAAGAAAAGAATTGGTCATTAGTTTAACTCATGATAAAATCATTTCTGAGTTGTTCTACTGCTCAAAGTTTTCTTAACATTTCTGTGAGTAAATAATCGCTACCCCCTCTACAATTTGTGTGGTATTCATAGTCTATTTCAAGAGCAATTCAAAGAAGCTTCTTTGCTGCATCTCTACGCCTCACCTTTGCCATACATGATCTTGTCCCCCAAAATGTCAAAGACAATATCCTGCCGCTGTCAACTTCAGTATGCGTTCACCAGTTCACTTGCTCCTTTGGAGCCAAGTACACAGGCCGTATCAGAAGGATACCGTCTGGACGCTTCCAGGAACATTTACCAAGGTGGACACCAAAAGAAGAATTCAGAAAAGTCAACAGGTCAATTCTGAAGCATATTATTACTCCTAGTCATACAACACCAGAACAGACTTCATCCACAGTCACTGACTGATGCCTGTTGATGTTGGTTGGGCAACTTCATCACCTTCGTTCCCTGCTTCTTCTGCCAACTTGATGGATTTCTTCTGTGGATCTTCGAGTTTGCGTGTGCTACATTAAACATTAATCAATAGCAAAGTTCAGATCTTCCAGTGTCTTCTCATCGGCTTTAAACTTCATATTACCACTGCCATCTTAATATGTTTTCATGATTATTTTTCGAAATACTAAGTAGATTTCCAAAATTCAGGAGAGAGTATTCAATTCATGACATTCTAGTCTTAATTTCACAGTAGAATATAACGAGTTGATCACGGATTGATTATATCAGTTAGAGAAACATTGAAAACCGAAATCGGAGTACTGAACAGATGTTCCCTACGTCCCAGTTTGGGAATCATCGGTAGTACGCACCCACCGCCACGGTTCGAACCCAGGACCTTCTGGTTACAAGACCAGCAAGCTCGTATGCCATTTAACCACCGAGACCCGATTCAGTGGCTAGCCCATGAATTCTAACTTCTACCAATTCGTGGTGTTGGCGCGAACACCAAACAGTGTCATCGGTGGGACATCCATCCTCACACTAACTCCTGAAAATTATTCTGATGCTTGCTAGTGATTGGCTACAGGATAGAGTTTCCTAGAGTTGTAGTGAGAAGTCGTGACCATTGAGGTCCATCCAGTCAAGTGTGAGGGAGGAGTTCCCACCGATGACTTTGCTTGATAGTAACGCTAAATCACGAATTGGTAGAAGTTAGAATTCATGGGCTGGCCACTAAATCAGGTCCCAGTGGCTGAATGGTATACGAGCTTGTTTGCTTGTAACCGGAAGGTCCTGGGTTCGAACCCCAACATGGTGGGTGCGTACTGCAGATGATTCCCAAACTAGGAAGTATGGAACAGCTGTTCAGTACTCCGGTGTTGGTTTTCAAGAGTGCTTAGACTAATATAATCAATCCGTGATCAACTCGTAAAAACAAATCTAGTCCTTACAAACCAATCATAGAAAAGGAGAATATAAGACAAATAAACCGTCAGATTTCTAGACTTTACTGTAGCAAAAACAACAGTTGACAGTACTCCAGAAATATCCTTATGTAGAAAGACTTCATGAACGGCACAGGATTTCTCTTTCCTATCCAATAAAAAGGAAGTTGAATTAGGACACTGTTCGGTGGCGTTTAAGCGTTAGAACGCTCGCTAACCACCCAACACGTGGTCCGGGGTTCTATTCTAGCCTGACACACTCCTAAGCCTCGCTTAGCCGGTAGTGTAAGATCGATAAAATGGGAAGGTTGGGTGTGAGGCTAGCAACCACCCCTCATCACGGTAAAAATAAAACCACTGCTACAGAAACTCTAAAGCTCTACTTTGAAGCCCTATGTTCCACTTTAAAAGTAAAGGAAAAAATAAAATCATGATAATGAGCAGATCACGGAAAATCTGTCCTAACAGTACAACTAAATACGAAGAGTGGATGATATCCTGAAAGTATGGAAGTTTGAAAAGCTCTCCTGACACCTTCATCAAAATCTATATACATCAGCCTGACATTTAAAGTAGACTAATTACAAGAAATGGTTAAACGAAGGCTTGATAAATGGTTTAAGACGAACCTACTATACTCCAAGACGTATATTGGTCAGTGGCATCAAGAGGGTACTTCGACAATTCGGAAAAGATTAGATTCTCATCCTCGACACCCAAGTAGATTGATTTCAGTGTATCTGTGAAAGCAAACAAACACATGTCGTATAGAAAGGCAGGTGTCTACTAATGAGATGGTTTTACACCTTCCAAAGTGCTCACTCGAGATATGTCAAAAATGAAAATACCCAAGAGCTCCAAAGCGAATTATCTTCTGGAATACGAGTATGCCAGTGACACACTCAAGTCATTCCCCGTTGTTGACAGACAAGTAAGTAGAAAATAACATTTGAGATTTCAGGAGTTTGAGCAGTTAGAGTCTATAAACCAGGTCGTTGTGTGAGAAAAGAAATGATAATTGCTTAAATGTCCTATGGTACGTATTCGAAGGTATTCTGGTGTAGGTCAGTCCCCTGGAGAGACACTTTTTGACTATGAATATGAAGATGATATCGGTTTACTGTGAGATGACATACAGGTTGAATAATAGCGCCCCCCCCCCCAAAAAATAAATACCACTAATTCTACTGAAACTTCAAGTCTCTAGCTTGAAGCCCTATGCTGTGTTCCACTGGGAACGTAAAGGAATAAAAAAAATGACGGCATTATATCCTACCACAGTACTAAATTCTATTCTTATATCAATGAAAGTGGAACAAATGTTTCTGTGATGACCCCATGGTCATCAGGTTAATTAAAATTTTATTTTAGATCGTATGAAATATACTCATATAATGAACAAGTGGAGCCTAGAGAAAACAGACCCGAGAAAACCAAGCAAGTGTGGAGATTGTGGGTACATGCAAATGATGAGTCCCGAGTAGGACGAAATGTGCATCCTGGTACATTCCACTGCCACTCGCTATCCATCAAATTACTACAGGTTAAATCATCAGACATTGTGGAAGCATTCACAGAAGCAGTCGACATGTCAACTAACTGCAGATCCTGAACTCACTCATAGGACGAAGCTGCCCATTGAGGAAATTATTTTAGGGATTCAGTTATGCCTCACATCTACTATCTTTAAATTCCAAGGCAAAATATATAGACAAACAGAAGGTGTAACAATAGGATGGATCACCAATATCCCCTATAGTAGCAGATATCTTAATGGATGGGTAACTGGGAAAATATTGCTCTTAATAAATTTAATCCTATTCCAAAAATATGCTGGAGAAATGTGGATGACACTTTCACAGTGTTAAAAACAGAACATATCTCTAGCTTCTTGACACATATAAACTCACCAGTAGAGGGAATGAAATTCACATTTAAATCGGAAAATGAACAAGGAGAATTAGCTATTCTAGACTGTAGTGTAAAACGAATAGAAAAGAGTAAACTGCACACTAGTGTTTATAGAAAACCAACGCATTCTGTTAATAGATATTTAGACTTCAATTCATCTCATCCGTTAACTGTTAAGGCAGGCGGCTTAGTTAAGTGTTTAACAAACCGAGTAGTAGCTCTAAGTAGCACAAAGAAAGACCTAAATGATGAAATAAAACAGATAGAATAAGTGTTGGTGTTGAATAACTATCCTATAAAACTCATTAGGAAGATCATTAAAGGCCAAAAGCAAAATAAAAAGAATTGTGAAACTAGTAATAATGACAGAAATAAGAGGGAATATAAGTCATCTACAGGCATACCAAATAAGGAGGGGACATCTGAGACCCTACGTAGGATTCTCAATAAAGCAGGAATTAGGGTGACATTTAAACCTACAAACTAACTCAGGTAGGACAAGCTCTATAGGTTAAAGGACCCGGTGGACCCAATTAAACAAAATAATATAATACTGCAATGATTGTGAGTGATGTCAACCATATAGGTCAAACTAGCAGGTCGGAGGTAGTCAGATTATCAGAACATAAGAATTTAGCTAAGGGAAGAATGGTTGACCCCGAGAAGATAAGTAATCTAGAAAAAAGCTCAGCGATTGCACTGCATGTATTAACACACAATTACAAAATAAGGCGGGAGAGGGTTAAAATTCTAAAAAGTAATCTAGGTAGGTGGAGAGAGAGGTTGATTACTGAATTCTTGTTCATCGAGTCTACACCCAACATATACAATAGAAGTGACTCAATGCAAATACCAGAAATATGGATGATATTATTACCGCCAGTCAAACCAGAAGAGGATGATAAAATCTTAAAAGTCTATTTCAATTGAAGTACATCACAAAATTCTAACAAGTTACTTATTATGACTATAAAAACACTGGTCTTATTTCCCATCTGATTGTAATTGATCAATAACACTCATACTATTATTTCTGAATGTGCATTATCCTATATTGATTTTTATTCAAATATCTAATCAATTCCACACATGTATATAAATGAAGCAAGAAAGTTGTGTGAGTAGCTTCATATGATTATGAGTGGCAATAGTTTGTGCTCGAAAGGTGGTCATCAGTTAATATTACTGTATAACACTGTGTGATTTATCAAAATAAAGTCTTATCCATAATGAAGTTATACTCTACCAAAGTGCCCAAATTTCGTACTTCTATCAATGTCAACAGAAGCCGAATATTTAGGTTAAATTAATCAACAGGAGAGACGGAATTGACTTACAGACACAATCAGTTATAAATTTTTGGGAAAAAACCTTTTTACTTACCATATGGTTCACCTTTATAAACGATATTCCGTTTAATTGTCTTTACACTGTCGAAATCACTTCCATTTGTAAGACCACAACACTGTAACTGTTGGGAAGAATGAAGGATAAATGACAAAATAATTAAATTCACTATGAAAAACAGTGAGTAATTCTCAGGAACTGTCTCTTGTATACAATCCAGCATCCATAAAACACTTTGTCAACTACTACCAATACGTGATGAAAGAAGTCTACGAAACGATGTGGAACTGTATGCATAATGCCTCGGGTATTGGTGCATCTCAATCGCATACTATTTATTTTCTTATATTTTCAAGTATTGGATTTTGTGGGGATTTTGTTTGATTGGATGGAGGATTTCATCATGAGCTGACGTCAGTGAGAGAACCATTGGAAAACCCGCAGGGAGTACTACCAGACAGCTGTTTCTGTTTTCCTAGTTTGGGACTCTCAACCAGTACTCACTCACCTACCTTATTGGGGTTCGAACCCAGGACCTTCTAGTTACAAGGCTAGTGAGCTTGTTAACCATTAAGCTACTGGGACGCGATCCAATGACCAGTCCATGAATTCTAACTTCTGCCAATTCATGACATAGCGTGACCACTTCTCAATGTCTTCTTCGATGACATACTGCTTCATCTTCAACCTTCTGTACCCTACTGGTCACGACTTCAATCTAGAACCCAGGTAACTGCCCACCTGAATAGGACCAGTCGCTAGTGAGCATCAGATCAATTTTGTTTGATTAGATGGATGATGGTCCCGCTATGTCATAAATTTGCAGAAGTTAGAATTCATTCACTGGTCATTGGGTCGGATCACATTGGCTGAGGAATGGTCTACGAGCTAGCTCATCTTGCAACCAGAAGGTCCTGGGTTCGAACCCTGGTGATGGAGCAAGTGCGTACTGTGAACAGTCCCAAACTAGGTTGACGAAACAGTTAGCTGTCCAGTACTCCCAGCAGGTTTTCCAATGGTTCTCTAACTGATGTCATCCTCCATCATATCTTATATTTGCCAGAGGTGAAATACATGTCAAACATACTGAGATTTTTACCTGCATTGTTGGAAAGATTTTGTATTCTGCCAACATCCTCATCTAACATGGCTATATCTTATGTGTATTCTAAATCAACCAGCTATTTACCTGACGCTGACGTTAGAAGTTATTCCAATCAGTGTTACTATTATTATTATAAAGGTCAAGTTAAACTTTAAGCACCAGTAAGTGCCAGCGGAGTGCTACTGCACCAAAGACCTTAAAACACCCAGTGAAAAAGTTACTGAAACCTGGCAAATAATACTGTAATCATCTGATTGGACACTAGTAACTAGTGCGACGTGTCTAGTTCTTTCTTTGGTGCAGAATGAACTCTATCAGTTAGGTTTGCAATGTGACCACCATGCCACTAGGTAGCTTGCCATTATGGTGCACATTGATTTGATGATATTAGACGGTTGGAGGCAATCAGCAGGAAGCTTTGCCTGACCTAGGTTTTGTGCCAGTTGCCACTCGTCACCAATGTCAATCACGAGCCCGAACAGCTCGGCGGTAACGTCTCTGACTGCAGGCGGCACTGAGTGACGTGGGTTCGAATCTTAGAAGAGACATGAGTTCATTTAAGGTTTCAGAAATGCTCTGCTGACTGAGGAATGCTAACTAGCATGAAACTTAGGTCAGGTAAGGCTTCCTCCTGATTGTCTCCAGCCATTTAATATCATCAAATATTGTGATCATGAATAAAATGTACTTAATGAAGTGTTACGTTATTCAATGGGATATCTGGCAAGTTACGGCTCAGGTTTGGGAAAGATTAAGTTAAGATTTAGGCTAAGGACAAGTTAGGGTCAGGTTAACCTAATGAGGGCGACATTAGGGTTGTTTCGAGTTAGGTTAAGGGTTAGTTTAGGGATATTTTCACGTTAGGGTTAGGTTAAGGAAAGATTAGGGTTATTGTTAGGCTTAGAAGACCTAGATAATTATATGCACAGAATGTAGTTAAATTACTCTGTTGATACTCCAATCCAAGAATGAGAGGTATTTTTGTCACACGTTAGAGAAAGGTGTCTTGTGTAACAGTTTCATGCCTTTTAATTCATTATTTTCATGAATATAAATATGTAATTTATACGCAAAAATCGCCTTTGTCATGTGGTTGATGCGTTCAAGGTTACTTATCCGTTGGTACTTACTGGTGCTTGACGTTTAACTTTGCCATTATTTATTATTATTCACTTCGATTCCTAAAGGAACATTTGGCTTTAGATGCACATCGCCATCCCACCCTGTTCACCGCAGTCTTTTCCAGATGACTACACAATTGCCAATAAACTTTCATTACCTCCTCATACGATCCTCTCTATGTCACCCTCGGACCAATATCCTACTGGCCTTTTCCCATTGAAAAAGTGCCTAACCGGAACACGTTGTCCCCTCTGCATATTTGTCGGACGACAGGTGACTGGTTTTCTGTTCCTAGAGTTCCTTGCTTCTCATCCTTTCTGGCCGGCGATTTGATCTTTAGTATCGAGTGAATGCGGCTGTCGTCGAAGGTTTTCAGTAGACTGTTGGAAATGTCTTAAGTGACGGGTGTGCCAAGTTCTTGAATCCTATAGAAGAGCTAACTGATTTGATATCAGTGTTGAAGATCCGGACCTTGTTCCTCCTTGCTGGCTCCAGTAGATTTCACAATGACTTCAGATTAATGAAATTCTTTCTTTCTTTTTCCATCCTGTCTGTCACTGACATCCTCACATAGTTGAAACAATGGTTCCTAGATAAGTGGAATAGTTGATTTCCCCTCCCTACCTATTAGAATATTCGTAACAATCTTCCCTGACACCTCGCATTGTCATTAATACAAATGACAGATGTCCATAAACGCATGCACAACAGTAAGAATTCAAGTGAAGTGAATCATGTGAGCCACTAAGGAGTATTGAACAGATGTTTCGTCTTTGTTTCGGATTCTTCGTCAGCACACACCCATCACCGTACATATACCAAGAATCGAATCCAGCACCTTCAGATTATGAGGCAAGGCTGTATGCCACTAAGGTACTATTTTTATTTATTTATTTTTTATACAGCTTGACTCCATACCGTATTTTTTGGTACAAGTATGAAGTTTTCAGCATGTGATATCGGTAGCCCAAATTTTGCAGGCCGACTATTGATATCGGGTGTGCGTCGGCAGGGAATCGAACCCCGCACCATGTTCATGGTCGGCGAGAGTCCTAACCGCTGTGCCACAGACGGAATCCAACAGCCCATGAATTCTAACATTTGTCAGTTCGTGATATATAGCACAGCCGTCAGTCAATATCATCTCCAAGTATTTATCCTCACACCTCACAACTTGGCGGAATCCGCTTGCCACGACTTCTCAGTAGAACTTCACACTGCTGAACTCTGTAGTGAGTTAAATCCCTGCTGGCCAATACCTGAAAAATCAATCTGGTTCTCACCGATGACTGGCCCGGGGATGAAGTGTTGCCTGATGTTCCAGAAAGGGAATTGTGACCGTTAAGTTGAAAGCGAAAACGAATACTCACCGATGACATTGGCTGGAGGTCACGCCAGCAGAAGATAGAATTCACAAGCTCACCACTAGATTCTGTCCCAGTGGCTGAATGACTAACAGGCTCGCCTTGTAACCTGAAGATCATGGATTCGACCACTAGTGGTTGAAGTGATGAGTACGTACTGATGATGATTCCCAAACAAGGACGAAACAGCTATCCCTGCTGGTTTTCAATGGTTCTGTAACTAAAATCAACTTGTGATCAATTTTTCAACACATTTTCAACCATCTCTTTTGTCAAAATCAGTTTTTTTTGTACCACAGGAAGATAATTAGTCATTGGTGTCTGTTATCTACACCTAATTTTTCTGAACACTCAAACTGCTAGTCTTATTTACGGTACCGTAATGTTTGTATTCCCCCACCCACGCTTGTCACAGCTGAACCATATTGGTCAACAATTGTTCTAACTTATCAATGAAATTAGTCTCTCTCCAATTCGGATCAACTAGAGGTGGATGGAACTGATTAGGACATCAAAGTGAGGGTCGGGAAAGCAAGGTAAGCTTTCATTACTCTCAAGTCTGTGTGGAGGTCAACAGCACTGAGCATGAAAGTGAGATCCGGATATTCAACTACAATGTGAAGTCAGTGCTACTTACTATACGTACAGATCAGAGACTTGGCACAGTGTCACGAAGGGCACTTCAAACAAACTACACACCTTCATCAACAGCTGTCTTCGCTCAATACAACTCACGATCAGGTGGCCAACCAGAAAAGATTAGCAGCAGAGAGAGAGAGATCTCTGGCAATGAGCGAACCAACCCAGCAGGAACCGACCATACAACAAATATGCAGGAAGAAATGGAGGTGAATTGGTGTCCATGGTCTGAGGAAACAAACCATCAAGTGAGTGATATCATAGGACAGGCCATCGCCCGATTGCAACCCGAATGGGAAGCGGCGAGTTAGCTGGTCGTCAGTGTGAGGGTGATATGGAGGAGGAGATGAAAGCATGTGGGCAGACGTGGAGCCAGGTGAAAACTTTGGCGGAGAACCGAAAGCAATGGGGGCGTGTGGCTGAAGCCCTATATTCCTCTAGGAACTAAAGGAAACAATAATATAATAAATTCATTTAAAACCTATACAAGTGGAACTGTTGTCAAGCCTCTTCCCTGTTGGTTAGAGACAGTTAAAGCTCTCTTGTCAGTAGTTTGTTTTCTCACACTTTGCATGCTTCGCGTATTGGTGTTACCGTGTCGTAATGGTTGTCACTGCGAATGACGATTAGAACAATAGGTTCGTAAGTCTAATAGGTTTTATTGACGACCAAATCAGTATTATCTGAGAGGCTGGGAGAAATTCCGTAGAACTGACTTATGCAGGTAAAGAAGCATGAATTCTTTTGAGTTTAAAATAAAAAACACTGGCCACTATTGATGAATACCTGCCGATATGAAATAACTGCATGTTACTTTTACCTAGCTTCCAATCTCATGTGGCTAAACACTTAAAATACTGAGAAATTCACCCGTACCCCCTTCCTCACCTGTGTCATAATATAATTTAACACACGACTGTGTATATCCGGTGAATCATAACCAACATATTGATGAATACTTGAATTGAATACATCTCGACTAAATGTTGTAACCTAAAACAAAGGGGAAAAAAGAAGAGTTCCAGTTAAAAAATATACATGCACATACACGGACAAAATTTCGTTTCTCATGTTCCGATCCTTAATATCTACATTATGAGTTGATCACGGATTGGTTATATCAGTTAGAGAACCATTGAAAACCAACACCGGAGTACTGGACAGCTGTTCCCTATGTCCTAGTTTGGGAATCATTGGGAGTACGCACCCATCAACAGGGTTCGAACTCAGGACCATCCAGTTACAAGGCCAGCAAGCTTGTATACCATTCAACAACTGGGACTAGCTTCCTCAATGATAAACACATGAATTAAAATTTCTACGAATTCGTGATTTAGCGAGACCACCAACTAATGTCATCGGCGGGAAATGCATCCTCACGACTTCTAACACACCAAATCGCGAATTGTTAGAAGTTAGAATTCATGGACTGGCCACTGAATCGAGTTCCAGTGTCTGAATGGTATACGAGTTCGCTGGCCTTGTAACCGGACGTCTCTGGGTTCGAACCCTGCTGGTGGGTGCGTACTGCCGATGATTCCAAAACTAGGACTGATGAAACAGCTGTTCAGTACTCCGGTGTTGGTTTTCAATGGCTCCCTAACTGATATAATCAATCCGTGGTCAAACTCGTAAAAATAAATCTAATCCTTACAAACCAACTATAGAAAATCTATATTATATTTGAACGATCAAGTAAGATAACTGATTGATTAAAGATGCTCATTTAAAATTTCTAAAAGACTGAGTTAAATGGACAAAGAATATTCTTTTCGATAAATTCTCCTTCCTCATGTTCTACAGTTATATGCAACTATAATAATTAAGGAATTAATGTTGTATTGACTGCTGCTCCCGGAACTTCCCCATTTTGTGCTCGCTTGGGAACACCTACCAGTGTGGCCCAATAAAGATGTAGTAAAAACCATCAACAGTTTCAATGAATGACCTCCCGGTCAAAACTTGCTATAAAGCCGAAATTAAAGAATCTTTTTCTATAATCTATCGAGGATCAAATAAATTATCAGAAGCCTCTAGGTATCAAATACTCCAAAGATCGGGATCCACTGTTATCGACGTCAAACAGACGGAACCCTGTTTGCCAAAGAAACAGGTAAAGCTACTACTGCACTATCCTGGCCTCCTGTCGAGCCTATGCATTCATCAATTCTGTATTACGTTTATTGATTTATTTAATAGTCAATCGGTTTGGTGTCGTATTGATCCATAGTATCACTCACAGATGCTTCGGAACTGTAATCTATCCATGTTATTGATTCAATGTGATTTAAAACATAAGGATACGACTTGGCCACTATGGTAGAGTATAACTGCATTATGGATAAAATTTACATTTTGATAAAGTCTCACACAGTCTTGTAATACAGTAATATTTACCACTGATGACCACGTTTCGAGCACAGTTTATTACTACTACTCATGATCATATCAAGGCATTACTCACTCACAATCAATATAAGATAAAGTACATTCAGAAGTAAAATTAGTGTTACAATCAAATACAATCTGATGGGAGATAAGATGTTTTTACAGTGAAAATAAGTAACTTGTTAGAATGTTGTGATGTGCTTGAATTGGAATAGAATTTTGAGATTATTTATTATCCTCCTCTGATTTGACTGGTGGTAATAATATCTTCCATATCTCTGGTATTTGCATTGAGTCACTTCTATTGCGCATGTGTTGGGTGTAGACTTGATGAATCAGGATTCAGTAATCAACCTCTCTCTCCACCTACCTAGATTACTTTTTAGAATTTTAACCCTCTCCCGCCTTATTTTGTAATTGTGTGTTAATACATGCAGTGCAATTGCTGAATGCTTTTTTCTAAATTACTTATCTTCTCTGGGTCAACCATTCTTACCTTAGCTAAATTCTTATTTTTTGACAATCTGACTATCCCCGATCTACTAGTCTGACCTATATAGTTGACCTCACAGTCATTGCAAGGTACTTTTTAAATTATATTATTTTGTTTAATTGGGTCAACCTACAGAGTCCTTTATCCCACAGAGCTTGTCCTATCTGGATGAGTTTGTAGGTTTGAATACCACCACCCTAATTCCTGCTTTATTGAGAACCCGAAGTAGGGCCTCGGATAGATACATGTGTGTAATAATCAGATTGTTCGAAGTGTGTTGAGCAAATACAAATTATACAATTCAGATAAATTACGTCTTCACATAAGTAATAATAATAATTTGCTTTATTCCAGAAGCAGTACTAGTAGTACAGTGTGGAATTTTCAGCACATATCTACAATATTTGCATCTAATTTTATCAAACATTTAAAAGGAGTATTTCAAAAAAATAAATATGAAGACACCAACAGGAAAAACACAAAATAATTAAAAAATGTGAAAAAATACCAAGAAGTAGAAAGGAAAATAAACAACATAATAAATAGTATCTCAGTATTGGGTAGTGGAAGCTATGATATGTTTATGCATGGTGACAGTAAAGCTATAGTCATACAAGAAGTTATGAAATGATATTTAAGAATGTTTATTACCAAGGTGGTCAGTTAATTTGGTTGAAACAACTCTAAACAATCATAAAATAACATTTCAGGGTTGTTGTTTTGTTTTTATTGTCAGGTCTAATGCGGTGTTTGTAGTGGTATTGTGAGTAATCCTGCATAATACAAAATTTTAAGATGGTGATAATGGCATTCACAACCAATTATTGTCAGTTAATATTGCCGAACAAAAAAAAACATCCACAAAAACTAATAATTACAAGATGGTTAATGACAGGACAATTTTGTAAAAATCATAGTGCTAATATAGTCGGAACCAGTAGATACACAAAAGAAGGAATACAGTAAAGTACAAAAGTAACTAATTGTCTCAGATTTGATTGGACACTAGTTAGGTTGCAGATACACCTTGCTGACTGGTGAGTGCCAACTAGCACGAAACGTAGGTGGAACGCTTGAGACCGACTGCCCTCAAATATCTAACGTATCACACTTATTACAACGTTCCCCAGCTAGCCGCTACCAAGCCCGGGAAAAAGAATAGAAGGCTGGACGTGAGGTCATGCTTAAGCCTACCCCAGAAAATCAACCTAGTCCCTACCGAAACTTCGATACACAACTGAATACACTGACGTATAATTTGTTGACGGAGTGACCGAGATGATGTACAAGTGACCAACGAAATACAGAAGCATAGACTGATGCTGCATATCAGATGGCTATCAATCCACAGAAAATTGAAGTCAATCAAGGAGTTAATCAAAGAAATGTAGTACAGACTTACAATATCTGGACGGCAGTAATACACGATAATGATGGTAGCCTCAGGGATAATGAGTGACATGTGCAGTATCATGTACTGTAAATAGGAGAAAAAAAAAACAATTAGAAAATATTACAAAAATATTTATAACTTTTATTGTTATTCAAAATACGCAAGTTACGTAATGTCAGTCGTCCAAAAGGCTTTTCATTTGCTAATATACAAAGAGTTGAACTGAATTCATTCTCTGCCCCTAAGTAAAAGCATCACATGCGGTGAGCGAAGAGTTTCCTGACGGATCTATGAAATATAACCAAGTTGAATTCAATTAACTAACGTGGACCTGACTCTAGAGATCAGTGAACTGGGGAATCTACCATACTGAGTTTTAGTACATTAATATATGTAATATCAGACATATTCATACCTTACTCTCAGGTGTTTCATTTCAAATAAATAATAATAATTTGCTTTATTCCAAAACAGTACTTGTGATACAGAATGGAATTCTCAGTATTCCACTATAGTATTACATCCAGTTTGTACATTAACAATAAATAGATAAAATTCTACATAGATTATGGGTGATCTCAGCATATCGGTGGCAAAGCCAAAAAATGAACAGAGTGTTTGAAGGTGTTAGAGTAAAGAAATAGATACTAGCATATTTACTAGCGTAAGTGGTAACAAAAAGGTCGAGATATACAGAGTGTGAAAGAACGAAGAAGAATGTTTTAAAAAGAATTTGTAACGAAGAGAGAAACATAACAGTACATGGTAGAAAAAAAAGAGAAAAGGAAAAGAAAGAAGGAAAACGTTGTACCTATAAATGATGTGAGTTGAAAAGACGAGATCCAGTTGTACTACTGACTATTTAATGAATTATAGGTGTCACGCCTAATGCTTTCTTTATCATACAGAACACGAGCTAAGTAGGGTATGGTTGAGTTTTTGTACTTGCTAGTGCCAGCATATAGTTTTCTATATAGGCTTCTGGTCTCCTGCCTGATGAGATGCAAGGGGAGAATTGTGAGTGAAGAGGGTGGTGTGAGTCAGATAAAATGGATTTGGCCCATTTTTCACGTGAGTGCATGTGCCTGTCGACCAGAATATTAACAAGCTGACAACCTTTAACACCCTACAAAATAAGATATAGTCCTTCTTCAGTAGCCCTGGAAAAAACTAAGGGAGAACAATAGAGAATAATAGGCAGAATGCGAGAGTTAACGGATTGTAGGAGTAAGGGTTGGGTTATACCAGAATGTTTTCTAACTTCTTGATGTAGAAGGTAAGACGGAATATTTTCTTAGAAATCGCCAAGATATGAGACGACCAGGAGAGATCAGCAGATAGAATGACGCCAAGATATTTAATTTCGCACTTGGTCTCTATTTCAGTGCCATCTATGTTTCACACCTCGTGAATGCTAACCAGTTTGTTTAGGTCCGATTTATGCCTAAAGGTGAAATTGACTGTTTGACATTTAGAGGGATTTAAGGTAAGACCGTTTTCCTTGGATCATTGACTGATTTCTGATAAAAAGCCAACATTTGATATATTGAACCTGGCGGCCAGCTATTCTACTGTCTACACATTGCATCCAATCTACAAATAAAACTGCCGTGGTACTGCTTTCTTGGTCCGCTGAAATAATAACATTAGTCCGGCCTTACAAATTTTAAAAAAAAAAAACTCGATTTAACTAAACACCAAGGCTTCTGCTCTTGATCTGAATTTTAATGGCTAAATATGAGAGTTACTGCAATGCAGTAGTGGAATCCACCAGGGTACTCGTTTCGTCCTGTTCGAGACTCATCAGCAACTGGGTATACCTATATCCCCCACTCAGTGAATGATGGTGTCCCCATTAGGGCTGGAACCCAGTACTCATCATTTCAAACACCAAAGCGTTATCCGCTAGACCATTTGGGTCACGAGGGTCATCTCTTATGCAGTCGATATCAATTATTATTGAATTCAATTTGGATTTTCCCCCTTAGTTGATTGGACGGAGGTATTGGGCCTTCGTTGACAAGTTAGTACTCGTTGCACAAAAAAGAGGTGGCTCGCGTGGCCTAAGTGGTTAAGTGGATAACACTTTGGCGCTTGAAACGGTGAGTACTGGGAACATCACCACTCCCTGACTCACTGGGAAATGCAGGTGCACCTGCAGGTGACGGGTCCCTAATAGGATGAAATTCGTACTGCTAGTTACCACCCACCATATTACTTCAGGTTAACTCCTCAGACATCGTCGAAGCATCTGCACATGAAACCAACATGTCAACAGAGGCCGAAATTCTAGGTTCAATCAATAAACAGGAAAACCCAAACTGAACTAAAATAAATTAGTAGTTTTGTTGTGCAGAAAAAGAGTCAGTATTTTCTGTGAACAGACATGGCATTCTAAGAAGAGGAATTACCGCTGAAATTCTGGTTTTAGACCGATGGGAAATAGGATAAATAACGTAGCATAAAGTGCTTTTCTGTACATCATCCCCAATTAAGGACAATCATAGAGAACTTCCAAGAAGATAGGCATATGCTGGACGGACAAGAAAACCCGAGAAGATACTAGACTCCTCGGATGAAGAATAACAAGTGGATAGAAGAGGCAGATAGCAAAGATGGGACTTCAAGTGAATACAGAGAAGATACAGGTGATGAAGATAAGCAACTAACAGCAGCAACAACAACAAGTATCGATCACTATCAACGGAATAAATTTGGAGGAGGTCACTTCAACGACTGGAGGCACGGACGAAGATGTCAAAGCCGATAAAGATTAAAAAAGGCAAGGCGGGCTTCCATTAGTTTGAAACCGGAGAGGAAATCTGATGCACTAGGAGCAAGATTCAGATTTTTAACACCAATGACAGTCAGTATTTCCACTATGGTTCACAGACTTAGCACGAGCGTCACGTGAGGTATCTTCAACAGGCTACTGACTTCACTTTATGCTGAAGATCAAATGGCCTACCAGAAAGGATAAACAACATGGAATTCTGGTATTGAACCGACCCAAGAACCTTTAGAACAACACATATGCCGAAAAAATTGGAGATGGATTGAAGATAAGCTTAGGGAACCATTGAGTGACATGACGCTCCATTCATGCCCTCTATTATTACCCGAATGGGAGACGACGAGTTTGGCATTGGTCGGAAATAGACATGGGGGGAGACCATGTGAGGAGGAGGTGAAAGCTTATCGTCAGCCATGGGGAGCCACTTAAAAATGACTACAGAGTAGAGAGCTTGTGAATCCCCATGTTCCTCTTGAAGCCTACATAAATAATATGAACTAGCAACATGACGGTATTTAAAGCTACTCAACTCTTTGAAGTACCGACAATTCAATGCTTCAAATATGAAATACTGCTGATTGAACTCAATCATTAACAGACTTGAAACTAAATAGGGAAAAATTCGCATGTGCAGAAAGCAAAAAGTCAGTTTTTTTGAATTTTCTGCCAACTGATAATACACGTGCGTCCAGTTGACAAGTCTCTGAAAGGACGAAATATGGATTCCGTGCATTCCACTACTAAGTATCAACCAAAAGAAAGCATAATGACTTTCAAATAATATTGACATTTCGTTTCATAGGTAGGATTCTGTCAGTTTCACATTCCATTAACCTTATTCAACCACATTTTTAAATATTTATATTTCTCTTGCATACATAGCGTCGGCTTGAACTTTTGAATCGCCAATGCCTCAGCTATCCCCAGATGCCTTGATTTCACTCCCTCCTAGAGGTCTGATCAGATCTTGTATATGACTTTGAAGGACTTTGCAAATGGAGCTGAATGTCCTGAATTTACCAGATGTTCTGTAACTGAGCCATATACACCCTTGCCTTCTCCCTTTGCTAACCATGCTGGTTAGTGCTCCCGAGCGCGTTTTACGAGTGGACAAATGGTACGGCCAATGTACTCGGCTTCACAGGAGCACGTGGACTGGTATATTCATGATGAAGCGGCCCAATTTGTGCGACAGCTTATTTCAGAAACTTACTCTAAACCTTCAATAATCTCCACTCAAACAATGACTTCACTCTGGAAGTTGAATTTGACTCAGTGTTTAATTTCCTCGATGTTCAACTGTGAAGAAATGCTTACAACTAGCTAAGAACATCCATCTACGGGAAGCCCTCATGGAACTGACGATTTAACAACTTTCAAAGTTGTGTTCACCTAAACAGAAAAAGAATCCTTATATACTCTCTTTCCGGGAAACATCCACTCAGGAATCAGTTGACGAAAAAGGGAGAAACCTTCGAGGGACCTTGTTAGAAAATTGTTTCCCCTCCGCAGATTCATAGACAAGAATCTAAAAGCAAATAAAACGTCTGAAAAGGTTCAAGTCGCCCCCAAAAGGATGCTAATGATTAATCGCGAATTTAAAAGTGATGCTGAAGCAGAACTTCACCATAGGCGGCTTTCGAAATCTCTCAGTAAACATACTTTGTCACCAGCCTACAAGTAACATTTTCCTGCAAGATACTGTTCAACCAGTACGTGAAAGACAAGCTGTCACCTACACTCAGCCACTTCAGCATACATATGTAACGACAGAAGACAAGAGCCAGGCAACAGATCGTTTATTAAGGAAAATCAACACATATTTATAGATTTTAATGTACATTATTGTAGATTATTGTTAGTAGAAAATACAGTCTTTTGATTGGTTGCTTCTCACAGAAAGTTAACCTTGCATCTCTTTGTAGCTGTGTCAGATCATCCATATGCTAACTGTGTATGCCTATGCAAAGCCTTTGTTCTCATTTTCTCACCGCCAATATTGGGGACATAAACATTGACGTCAATTACTGTCTACCAACTTTGGCTAGCAGCCAGCTCTCACCGCACATATAACAGTCAACTTGCTCCTGTGGAGCCGAGTATATTGGCCGTAACATGCATCCGCTTGTAATACACATTAGGGAACACTATCCAGCATGGTTAGCAAAAGGAGAAGGCAAGGGTGTATACAGTTTAGTAACAGAACATCTGGTAACTTCTGGAAATTCAGCTCCACTTGAAAAGTCCCTCAAAGTCATATACAAGATCTGATCAAACCTCTCGGAGGGAGTGAAATCGAGGCATCTGAGAATAATTGAGGCATATTTCTAAAAGAGAATATCTACGCGAAGATATACGCTGTGCAAAATGACATACTAATACTTCAAAAGACATGTGACTGGCGGGAGACTACTCACCTATAATAAAACAATAAGTGATTTTCAAAAAAGTCAAGGTTATGAATGAAGAAAAAAAATAGGCCAACTTACAATGCAGATAACCCATCTTGATTTACAACATGCCCCAATGATCCCAAATAGACAAATGATAAATACAATAAGTCCAACAGTGAAAATATAAACTCCAGCAGGTTCTTTTTTTTGAAAGATACAAAGAAATGTTCAATGTAAAATCATTTTAAAAACAACAATTATTCAGAAAAACAAAACACTAAGCGTTATTCAAATTTTTTCCAAGGAGTGTTGATACTACTGAAGTGCTTGATAGTAAACACTGGCTTATCGTTGACTGCTGTCATTAAACCAACTTAAAAGAGGTAATATTCAAGGGTCAGTTTGTAGAGATTTTGATCATTGATTGATGTCCGTTAGAGAACCACTGAAAACCTTCAGGGAGTACTGGACAGCTGTTTCGGCCAAGTATGGGACTGATCAATAGTATGCATCCGGCGGGGCTCAGACTGTGAGCAAACTATAGAAACAAATTAAATTCCTACAAACTAACACCTGAAAATTTACCTGATGCTTACGAATGTTGACAAGCCATAGGATGAAGTTTCCTGAAGTGCTGGTGAGAAGCGATGACCAGTGGGGCTCATCAGGTCGCCTGGTGTAAGGACAGCTACTCGCCAGTGACAGTGGCTGGTGGTCACGCTAAAATCGTGAACTGAAAGAAATAAGAATTCATGAGATATTCAAAGAGCTTGGCATTGAAGCCTAAAGGCCCTGGTATGCAAAGTGTGGACTTAGTACTACTGAAGAGTCCCAAACTAGGACGAAACAGATGTCCAGTACTGCCTGACATGATTCCGTGAGTAGTTGTGCGCCACTCACGCATCAAACAGATGGAAGGAATATTCGCTATTTTGAGGATGAGCTAATCAGTGAATGTACCTGGCTTGGCTCAGCTTAGGGAACCGGATCAGCGCAAACCATCTGAACTTAGTGAGCCTCTCTGGTGATTCAACAATATCATGCTTCTTAATAGATGACATGTCTTTGTTTGACGTATTATGTGATGAAATCCAAAATGTGGCGGGGGGGGTTAATGGGTCAGCTCTATAATCCCTTGGTTATTAGACCTTTTTCGGAAAATACAGGCTGGTATACTTATTAATACCTCACTAATACTAATAAAAATAATCATAATTCGAGTATGACGAGTAATCTAGTGACGATGTTTTCAGATTGGTCATTACTTCCCTTAATCCTAAAGTTAAACTGGGTATTTCATCAATGTTAAGTATATAAGTGAGATAATTAACTCACTACATAAGACTGTGATTCATTCAGTAAAGCGGTAAAATAGAGGTGTATAGGATAATTTATGTCTGGATGTGATCGGGAAGATTTGTGGTTCATGTGGATGATTTTGACGTAGTTGTGTTTTATGAGCTGGCTGGATGGTTTATTTGCGAAGATTTCATTGCCCTACTGGGCAACATTCTCAGAGCATACACTTCAATTTCAGTTGAAGTGAGCTTTTAGATTTCTCCACAAGTTTATTAGTCATCTCTCTTGGTGGGTGACCATAAATATGATTGGTTGTTTTGTACGTTTTCACACCCTACAGGCTGCTACTTGTATTGGTATTGGTGTTGATTGTTTCCTTGACCTGAAGTCTGACCCTTTGTGTGTGAGATTTTCTATATATAGATGGGTGTATTTTATCTGTGGCAGTGTGTCTATTGATTGATGATTCACTGGAATACCAGGCTTCTAAAAATTCTCTGGCATTCTTGGCTTTTCCTCTGTCTAATATTTGAACGTTGTCCCAGAAAAATTGATATCCATGGTTGTCTGTATGCAATGAGTGGATGTCATGATTTTTGACTGCTTGTTTATGTTCATGGATACGAAGACGACGGGGACGTCCACTTTCGCCAATGTAGTGTTTTCTCTCAGTCGTTGCAATTTATTTTGTAGATGATGTTAGTTTTATCTTCTTTCGTTGTTGAGTCTTTTGGATGACATAGAGCCAGCTGAGTGAAGTGATTTTGTTGGTTTATGTGTGACATCAATTCTTAAAGGTTTGAAGAGTCTTGCAGTGATGATTGAGATGTCTTTTATGTATGGTGGGGCGATTTCCTTTGTGCTTTCCTTGGGGGCCTTTGATTTGGTGGGTTGGCGGCTTGGGCGTAGGTGTCTTTTAATGAAGTCCCACGGATATCCATTCTTTCGGAAGGCGTCCATGAGATATCTTTCTTCAATTTTCCTTAAGGTGGAAATGATGCAATGGATCCTGGCCCACCAAGAATGCTAGAGAATTTTTAGAAGCTTGGTATTCCAGTGAATCATCAGTCAGTAGAAACAATGACATAGAAAAAATTGGTTGGAGGATTTCATCATGAACTGACATCAGCTACAGAACCATTGGAAAACCTGCAAGGAGTACTGGATAGCTGTTTCGTTCTGGTTTCAGGCTATTCAGTAAAGCGCACTCACTGCCAGGGTTCGAACCGTGGACCTGATGGTTACAAGACTAGCGAGCCCGTAGACCATTCACTAGCCACTGGGACCCAATGCAATGGCTAGCTTATGGATTCTAACTTCTGCCAATTCATGCATGACATAGCGCGACCACTTCGCAATGTCTTTTTCGGTGAGTTACTGCCTCACCTTTAACCTTCGTCCTAGTAGGAGACTCCTCAGACGTCCAGTACTCCATTCAGGTTTTCCAATGTTTCTCAAACTGATGTCAGCTCATGATGAAACCCTCCAAACAATCAAACACAATCCCTACAAAAACATTACTTCAAAATAGAAAAAATTTACCCATCTATACGAAGGAATTCCCACACACAAAGGGTCAAACTTCAGGTCAAGGAAGCAATCAACACCAATACCAATAGAAGTAGCAGCCTAGAAGGTGTGAAACACACACAAAAACAACCAATCACATTCAAGGTCACCCACCAGGAGAGATGACAAATAAACTCGTGGAGAAATCTAAAAGCTCACTTCAATTGAAATTGAAGTGTATGCTCTGAGGATGTTGCCCAGTAGGGCAACGAAATCCTCTCAAATAAACCATCCAGCTGCTCAAGGAACACAACTTCACCAAAATTTGAATATTTCACAAGTGACGCATAGAGCTCCATTTCTAAAACCTCTGACAAATGAAAAGGACAACGCCATATAACTGTAATCGTAACAAGCAGCCATATCCCCCTGTGTTTTGATATCAATCCGTGATCAACTCGTAAAATGGTGTTACCATCTTTTTTCTTGCACATACCATTGTTGTTCTTGCCTTCTTAAAACGGTACTGTTGTTCAATATAATGTAAGATGAGGACAAAATGAAGCCAACTGCTAACATCCAGTTATATATTACCATTACCGAATACTAACAGCTTACTTGATTATGTTTAGTTGTCACACAAATTAACTTGAAAAATAACAATAAACTTACGAATTTCTTCCAATATTTTAAACATTATCTTCGGCAGAGCTTTCTTATTATTCAGTGTACTGATTCCATCCAACAAGTGTGTATTTAATGTGTTCTGTACAGATTTTTCACCCCATGTGTAAATACCACCAATTATTGTAATAAATGCAGAAATTATCTGAAAAAGAATACAAAATTAGCACTGGTCACTACTCAATGTGTAAAAAGACAGTTGCAGCGAAGAAAATTTTCTTTTCGACGAAGTCATCATCTAGGCTGTACATTCGTGTATTTATATCAAATGGATGGGAAAGTTCCAGAATAATTTCTGGTTAGGGGTCAAATTAATAAAAATTACAATTAGGAATTAGAATGCCATAATAAACAGGGGGATGGGTAAAACTCAAACAAAGTAGCATAATAACTAAGAAGATTGACATTGTGCAATTGGGGGTTAGAAATGTAAAAATAACAAAATATACAGGATGTTTGGATAAGAAACTAGTGTGATGAATAATTGTTTATGCAATCAGGGATTAAATATGTAGAAATAGTAAAATGACAAAATAAACAGGAAGTGTGGATATGAAAATATGGTAGTGTAGACAGGGATTAAGAAAACTTAAAATAACATGAATAAACAGGAAGTTTAGATAAGAAAGGCGATGGGATGGTCATTATTAAAAAATTTACCTGTTTATGATGGCCATGGCAGGGACAGGGGTTGGACGTATTTCTTTTGGATACAAAGAGTGGGTTTGAGTTTTTGGATAGCTAACGCCTCAGCTATGCCCAAATGTCTTGATTTCACTCCCTTTGATAGGTTTGATTGAATCTTGTATATTACTTTGAAGGACTTTTCGAAAGGCGCTGAATGTCCTGAGTTGACCAGATGTTCTGTCACTGAACTGTATACACGTTTTTGCTCTCCTTTTACTAGCCAGGCTGGGTAGTGTTCACGAGCGCGTTTTCCAAGTTGGCGCATGGTACGGCCGATGTACTCAGCTCCACAAGAGCAAGTGAACTGGTATATGCACGTTGAGGTGGCCCAATGCGACAGCTTGTCTTTCGCGTTCTGGTTGAACAGTTTCTTGCAGGAAAACGTCAGTCGTAGGCTCGCGGCGAAGTATGTTTTCCTCAGCGATTTGGAGAGGCGTTTGCGAAGGATTTCTGCTTCAATATCACCTTTGAATTCTAGATTAAGCAGAAGTATTTTCTTTGGGACGGATTGGACTTGTTCAGAAGTCTTCTTAGGTTTGAGATTCTTGTCTATGAACCTGGGCGGGAAACCGTTTTCCATCAGGGTTTTTCGGAGATTACGCAGTTCTTCTTCGATCACTTCCTCGCTGCATATCTTCCGAATCCTCGAGGAAAGAGCGTATATCAGGTTCCTCTTTCTGCTTAGCGGTACGAAGCTTTGAAAGTTGATAAATTTTCCAGTCCATGTAGGCTTTTTGTATATGGACCTTTTCAAAGAGTTGTTGTCATTTCTTGTCAGCTGGACGTCGAGGAAGTGGAAAATTCCGTCGGATTCGGTCTCCGGTGTAAAGTCGATGTTTGGGTGGGCGTTGTTGAAGATGATGACTTCGTCGAAAAGATGATGATGAGCTGACATCAGTTAGAGAATCACTGGAAACCAGCGGGGAGTACTAGGAGTCTGCTTCCTCCTAGTTTGGGACTATTCAGAAGTACACACCAGCCACTGGCTCTATACAGGAAGTTTCCTGGATATCTATTGGGAAGCCATGACCAGTAGGGTCCATCCGGTCGGGGGAGAGTAAAGACAAATACTCACAGATGACACTACCTATGGGTGGCCCTGAAATCATGAACTGGAAGAGGCTGGAATTCATAGACTGGCCATTGAGTCGAGTCCCAGAGGTTGAATGGTCTTCAAGGATCCTGGTTTTGAACCATGGCAGTGCCTGCTGATGAAGAGTCACAAACAAGTAGGGAAGCACTGTTCAGTACTTCATCAGAGAACAATGCTACACTAATGGCTCTAGCAGAATGACTCAGATTTATTTACCTTTTCATTCCGTAATTTTATTTCTTTCCCCCTTTAGGACGTTTTACAGGAAGATTCAAATTTATTAAACAATTTCAGATAACATGCCTTGTTCGACAGGTTCTACGGGGTGTCTTTGTCTTATTTTTAACTCAGCGGCCTGTTTAAATCATTAGGCTACTAAATCTTGTTTTCCATTCATCAAAATGCATCATATCTACTGAATTTCATATCGTTTGACCTAAGCTCACGCACACTTCCAAAAAATCTTCACCTTTTGCTACTACACATTTAGAAAAAGTGGGAGAAGAACTTCGTGAAGTAATAGAGCATGCTTTGGATGGCATAATATTGCTCTAGATGATGCATCATCGATTATCACATTAGAAGGAAAAGAAGAAGAAGTTCAGCAAAGATGGCGATCTTTTCGGGGATTTCATTCTCAAAAGCTGTACAATCGCATTTATATAGATTAGTTTACATGGATACAATTATTATTTGTTTAATTCCACATAGTAACGATTATTATTATTATTGTATCCTTTAATTCCTAGAGGAACATAGGGCTTCAGCCACGCGTCTCCATTGCGTTCGGTTCTCTGCTAGAGTCTTCACCTGGCTCCAAATCTGCCCACACATTTTCATCTCCTCTTCACATGACCTCCTCCAAGTCACCCTCGCACTGACGACCAACTCGCCGCTTCCCTTTCGGGTTCCACTTGAGCAATGGCTTGTCTAGTGATGTCACTTGATGGCTTCCTCAGAGTATGGCCAATCCATCTCCATTTCTTCCTGCCTATTTTTTTCAAAATTGGTTCCTGGTTGGTCCGCTCCCAGAGATCTCTGTTGCTGATCTTTTCTGGCCAGCCATCTGATCTTGAGTATTGAGCGAAGACAACTGTTAATGAAGGTCTGTAGTTTGTTTGAGATGCTCTTTATGACGCGCCAAGTCTCTGATCCGTATAGTAGCACTGACTGACTTCACATTGGAGTTGAAAATCCGGATCGTATTTTTGACGCTGAATGCTGTTGACCTTCACGCAGACTTGAGAGTAATGAAAGCTTGTATTCCTTTCCCTATCCTCGCGCTGATATCCTCATCAGTTCCGCCCACATGTAGTTGGAACGATGCTTCCCAGGTAGGTAAAAGAGGTAGTTTCTTTCAGGTTCCTCCCATTTATGCTTATCATTGTCTGTTTTTGTTTTTCTTGTCCAGGAATCTTCATTACCTCTGTTTTCTGTATGTTCACCTGAAGTCCTATCTTTGATGCTTCTTCTGTCAACTTGTTGCTTTTCGCTTGTATATCTTCCAGTTTGTGGGAAATCAGACATGAATATATACATTTTATACGCAAAAATCTCCTTTGTCATGCGGTTGGTGCGTTCAAGGTCACTTGTCCATTGGTACCTACTGGTGCTTAAAGTTTAACTTTGCCATTTGAACATAGAAATTTGCACAAAAGGGAACCAGTTCAAGTTGCCACACTCCATGAAATACACAGAGGGAAATAAAAGGAATTCAAAAGAACCATATTAAGCGGTGATGTGTGAATACATTCGCGCCATTGAAAATGGTCTTAAACCATACCACTAATAGTCTCCAATTATTGATTCTTAGCAACGTGAAGACCCTAATCAGCCAGTTTAAACTCCTCCATATGGCTGGCTCAAACTAGCTGTCAAATGCTTCATAAATTCATTCAAAACTTTACTCTGGCCACCCCTAACTCTTTTCCAACGTAATCCTTTGTTAGTTAACGTACCTCGTCGAGGTAGACGATGTTCTAGGCATCCGAAACGATGTCGCTTTACAAGCTTATTGATTGACTTAAACTCCTTACCTAACATACTATATCTAACCTCAATATTACTCACCATCTTATAATAATAATAATCTACTTTATCCCAAAACAGACAGTACTTATAATACAGAATGGAATTCTCAGCATTTGTCACAATATTGCATCTGATTTACTCAAAATATATATAAAATTGAAAATTAAAACAAAATTAACCGGAGGAATTTGTCCACATTTACGATATAATTATTAGATATAATAATAATAACAGTGAGTTTGTTTCAAACAATATTGTCGATTCAGTTTGGAAAATTTAGCATGTTATAGATTATTGGGTCTAATGTTCTGTTGATATAGTATGGTGTGGGGAAAGACAAAATTAACAGTTATAATACAGCTTAAAATTATGTTAACACTTATGAAAAAAAATAAACAAAACGAAAAATTGAGAGGATTATAATATAAGAAATACAATAACAATAAAGTATGATGCTTCAAAAGTGAAGGAAATGGTTTATTTAGTGGTGCAAAGAAGGTTAGTTAGTTCATGCCTGACATTATTTTCATCACATAAAGAACGAGCCGAATATGGTATAATGGAATTTGCATACTTAGACGTACGTGCATAAATTCTTCTGAAAAGACTTCTTGTTTTACCTGTGGAGACACAAGGTTGTAGCTGTGGGTAAAGTGGATGCTCACAGTCTGACAAGATTCCCTTAGCAAATTTGTTGCATGAAATCAAGTGCCTATCAATGACGATGTCAACGATATGGCCCAATGGGATGCCACCACTCGCCCTACTGACAGTCAGTCTTCAGAGTTCTACGAAGTATGACATAGCCTTTTTTAAGCAATCCAGGAAAGAATAAGGGTGAACAGTAAAGAAAAATAGGTAAAATACACGAGTTGATAAACTGTAAGAGGAGAGGTTAAGTTATGCCTGAGTGCCTTAACTTCTTAATATAAAAAGTCAAACGAAATATTCTTTTAGAAATCGCTAAGACATGAGAGGACCAGGATAGGTCAGAAGAGAGAATTAATCCAAGATACTTAACTTCAGACTTGCTTTCTATATCAGTATCATCGATTTTGCAAGCGTCATACCGATTATATATATACCGATTAACACTGCAGAGAGAACTCAACCATCTACGGTCAAAGACAGTTAGTCTTTTCACGCCTTCACGTTTCAACAGCCATGTCTCACAGCCAAAAAGGAGGACAAGAAGAAATGCTCTGCAGTACACACGTCTTTTTCATCGACAGTTGGATATCAAGTTCACTCCAGAGATGGCGTAAGCTGGCTGAGATTTTATCAGCAATCAGCCTATTAAACGTTGGTGCAACTTCCAGAGTAAGTGAAGTGGTCAACGTCAATGCGCTCTGCCACTTCACTCCCTAACTAGTTGCACATATGGAAACATGAATCTTCGCAGGTGTGCGTGACGGGATACACACATACGAATTATAGAATAGAAAATATTCACGCTAAAAGAAAATAACGAATTCTTGACCTACAAAATTATCACTTAAGTATTCATAGTTTGTTTTGTTATCACAGATCACTATGGTAACGAAAATCGTTGTGATTCTGGTGACTGTCACAATCATGGAGGGGATGATAATGAGATGACCGCATGTTTTGTTTATTGTGACTATTTCTCACTATGGTAATGATGGTGTAAACCGAAGTATTGATTTTTTATCCATCGAGTGGAAACTAATGTGTGTGTAGTTATATTCTCCCATATATATAACTGCCATCTACACAATCTGCACAAGAATTTAGACAAAATGAGGTCATATTATGATAAATATGGCAGATTAGTTGGTAATTGTGTTAAACCTGTGAATGAATTCTATATTTCTTTGACTAACTGGGCAGTCTTCTTAGCTGAGTACATTGTGAGAACATTGCATGTCCCCATGCTTATTTTAGCTGTCATCATCAGCTGGCTTTCATCAGCTCGCATCATTTCGTCTCTCCGATCTCAGCTAAGAATAAATTTGCCGTGTGTATTTTTGTTGTACTTTGAAGTTCCATTGGCGATTAGACTGATTTTCTGGGTTAAGATAGCTAGGTCCACGCACAACCTTCCCTCTTCCCCGAACTTAGGATAGACTAAAAAAACTAGTGAACTATGCAGCCTTCACCACATACTGAAGATCAGACGACCGGAAAGGATTAGCAACAAAAAAACTCTGAGAATGAACCAGAAAAGAACCTATAGCTCAACAAATATACAGAATAAGATGGGGATGGGTAGGTACACATTTAGGAGACCATCGGGTGATGTCACGCGGTAGGCTATCGCTGGAGTGGAACCCGAGTGAGAAACGATGAGTTGGGCGTCTAAGGGTGACGTCGAAGAGATCGTGGGAGGAGGATTTGAAAGTTTATAGGTAGTCGTGGGGCCATTTGAAGAGGACTGTAGAGAACACGCAGATATGCTGTTGAAGCCCTACGTTCCAATTGGAATCCAAGGGAATAATATATATATGTATATATATATATATATATGAACGAATTCAGATGACTGTTCCCTTTTCCTCAATTGATATGCTGACTATAGAAATAATATGAGGAACAGACAGTTAAAGACTGTTTATCCACTCAAAACATAAAATGTTTCCAAACAGTTGTGTGATAAAAGCAACGTTAAAATAGAGGAAATCTTCACATCACAGCTTTTTGTTGAATATGCCCCAGAAAGCATAGAAAGCTCAAAATATGGGACAAAGTAAGGCAGATTTATTCTGTGGAATTACAACAATTTGATGCTAACTAGTGACTCACTCAATGCAGGAAGTTACCTGGAGTTCTAATGAGAAGTCGTAACCAGCGGCAAATAGTTGCTCACCGATGGCATTGCCTGGCGACCGTGCTATATACACTGCAATTCAGCAGAAGCTGGAATTCACAGATTGGCTATTGGTTCAGTTGTCAGTGGCCTGAAAGCTTCCCTTGTGATGACCAGGAGGTCCTGGTTCCGAATCGCGGTGTATGCATACTGCTGAAGAGTCCCAAACAATGGTGAGACAGCTGTCCAGTACTCACTGGGAGTTTCCATTGGTTCTGCTCGTGATCGAACCTTTAAGTAATCTATAAAACTCTAAAATACTTGGCACCCAAGCAACGAGTCAGTGAAAAAGGAACTAATGGTCCTTCTTATGGCTGGGCGTTGCTCATCATATTTTTATCTTACAGTTATTCCTTAATTCAAGTAAAGCATTTTCATTTCGATTTTCACCTTTAAAATTTTTCAAGTATTGGTTTTAGGGATTTGATTGATTGGTTGATTACAGGATTTCATCATGAGCTGACATCAGTTAGAAAACCGTTGGAAAATCAGTAGAGACTACTGAACAGCCGACTGTTTTGTCGGCCTAGTTTGAGACTATTCATCAGTACACACCCACCACTAGGGTTCGAACCCAGGACCTTCTGGTTACAAGGCGAGTTCGTAAGCCAATAAGCCACTGGGACCCAATCCAATGGTCCATAAATTTCAACTTCTGCCGATTCACGACATAGCGCGACCTCTAGCTAATGTCTTCGGCTACTATTTGTCCTCACACCCTATGCCTTTCACTTCTCCTCCGATATTTGTTTTAAATTAATTATTTTACTGTTTCTCTGTCTGTCATTCTCTTCACGAATTCATATCAGGCAAACACAAGGTTGCGACCTAGCAAACCACGATTTCAAACTCTCGTTGACCTGCAACATACCACTACGAACCGTTGAGTGATATCATGCGCCAGTCAGATCTTCGAGTGGAATCCGAATGAGAAGCGATGAGTTGGACATTGATCCCAGAGTGACTTGAAAGAGATTGTGTTTGAAAAATACAGAAGCTTATGAGCAGTCATGGAGCCAAATGAGAAGGACTGCAGACAATATCGTGAAATGGAGATATACTTCTGAAGCACTACATGCCACTCAGGACCTAAGGGAATAATACTGATAGAAATTCTATTTTACAGATCCATAAAATTTATTTGAAAACTAGTCACTAATGAAAGTGGATTGCAACTTAAATATCAGGTTTTTTGTCACAGGATTGACTTTGAGCCGGTTCCCGTCACAAACAGACTTCCTAGCGAGGCTATCCCAAGCATAGGGGGAAATAGAAGTACAATGTTATTCAGCTTTCGTTACTCCATCAGCTCATTCGTTTGCTTGAATACGTTAACACAAGTTTTGAAATCCTCTTAAACCTGACATAAGAATTTCAGATTTTCAAGTATTGGTTTCGTGGAATTTTCTTGTTCGTTTGATTATTTGGAAGACTTCATCATGAGCTAACATCAGTTAGAGAACCATTGGGAAATCTCCAGCGAGTTCTGCTAGACAGCTATTTCCTCCGTCCTAGTTTGAGACTCTTCAACCGTACACACCCACTGGGGTTCAAACCTAGGACCTACTGGTTACAAGGCTAGAGAGCTCATAGACTATTAAGCCACTGGGACGCTATCCAATGACCAGTCCATGAATTCTAACTTTTGCCAATTCATGGGACAGCGCGACCACTTCGAAATATCTTCTTCGATGAGTTACTGCCTCATCTTCAACCTGATGTACCCTACTAGTCATGGCTTCCCACTAGAACCCCAGGTTAACTGCCTGAATAGAGCCAGTCGCTAGTGAGCATCAGATTAGTTTTCAAGTATTGGTTTTGTAGGAAATTTTTGTCTGATTTGAGATTTCGCTTGTCTCACAAGGTTTGTAGAAAAGGTGTAAGCCATATTTAAGCCATCCCAGTACACGTTGACACGGTTATGTGTAATAACAATAATGAGGATCATTTTGTTTCAATATATCAAATATCAGATATACTTCATGAAGCTATTTCTATTCATACCACTTAGCGTAACGAATGGGATGCGTGGCTTCAAGTTTCTGCTGTGAAGCCTCAGTGGCTGTCGTGACGCTTTGTTGAAGGGTGGAATCGCCAGCGTCACACCAAACCTCCTCTCTTTATTGGGTCAAATAACCAACTAAGTAAAGTTTGGTAGTGGGTAGGCTGGGAATTCAATCTGGACCACATCAGGCGTGGTTGAAAAGTATTCTACCAATGAACCACCGATATACTGTCATTATTATCATTAATGTTTCCTGGGGTTCCGAGTGTAACATGGGACCTCAACAACACATCACCACTTTATTATATTCCCTGCTCTCCTCTTCAGCTGTCTAACTCTACGATTGATCATAATCTCTCATCCAATGCTCCAACTAATACAGTCTCCTCCATGTCACCCTCGCACCGACCACCCACTTGTCGATTCCCATTCACAGTCCACTCGAGCGATGACCTACATTGAGCGCGATGTCATTCGACTGCCTCTTCAACGTTTGCCCAGTCAATCCATCTCCATTTTCTCTCACATATTTGTTGAGCATTCGGCTCTCTCTTGTTGGTTTGTCCCACAAAAGAGTTTCTTGTTGCTAGCTCTTCCTGGCCAGCCAGCCGGCTGGCTATTTGATCGTCAGCATGCAGCCAGCCAGCAAAGTGAACAACTGTTGATAAACGTCTGCAACAGGCTGCTGAAAATCCTTCTCGTGACGCACACGTAGTGCAAGTCTCTGGCCCATATAGAAACACTCACTCACTGACTCAGTGACTGACTGACTTTACATTTGTGTTGAACAGAATCCGAATCTGCTTCTTCATGTTGGCTGAGTGAGTTAGTGAGTGGAGAAGATTTGCAAGGTTTATAAATGTGTATCTTTCCTTGCCTTTCCGATTCTCTCTGGCTGGATGGCTGTCTTGGAAATCTTCATCCATGCTGTCCGACTGCATGTGATTGACACTCTGCTTTCTAGCCACATAAGTGAAGGAAGTATCGCCTGTCAAATCTCTCTTGTTGATGGTGATTGGTGTTGGTTGTTGTTGTTGGTACTGTCGGTTGGTTAGTGGGTATCCCCATCGCCTCCATCTCCACCTTCTCTATGTTCACCTGGAGTCCCGTCTTCTCTGCCTGCCTCGCCTCTTCTGCCAGTTTGTTGGTTTTCACCTGCCTGCAAGTCTTTGAGTTTGTGTGTATGCGTGTCACATTAAACAAAAGTCATCCATGTGCTAAATTCAGATCTTCTAGAGTCTTCTAATCGGTCAGTTCAACATTTTCCTGTCTTATTACTATTACTATACATCAAATCCATGTGACCCTAATGGATCTAATCTCTGAACTAGACTGTGTGTGTAAGCGACCGAAAAAAAACTGAAGCAATATCATTTCAATGACTACTTACCCCAAATATTGTATTTATAAAGATCAGAATACAACGTAGTGCACAAATACATGACATTGTATTCACTGATTGAACCTCTGGAACCGAAGAATCTACCTGGAAGAGTTAAAAACAAAATAAAAAATAACAGATATGGCATATTATTATTTTTCATAAACTCTTAATTTCCATAGTTGTGTGTCGGTAGTAGCTTGTCATCCACACCTTATGTGGTCTATGGTCCGATTCCCGACAAATACACTGCTAAACCTCGTCTAGTCAGTATTTAACCTGGTAGAAAGTGTGAAGGTTGGGCGTATGAGACTAGTAACACCACGACCACCCCCTCAGTCGAAACTTCAAATCTCTAAGTTTGAGGCCCGTGTGTTCCATCCACTTGGAACGACAAAGAATGGAAAAATAAATTTCAGTGATTGGTTCTGGAAACAGATGACAACATGCAGAAGTAATGAATACAATTGGATAAAAGTCGTATTCTAACATACATAAAGAATATGACATAAATGACAATTCTTCACATCATAAAAACTCTGGCTAGTTTGTTTCCCTTATATTTTGCTCGTTTCAGATTGATTTGTGACCCACACCGGAAAGCTGAGTGAAGCTTCTGGAGTGAAAACGAGAGTAAGACAAGCCTGTCTACTATAAGTAATGATATTCTCGATTGTGGTGGAAGGGATCACGCAACAGATAACTGAGAAAGAGTAGATAGTAATACTGAAAGTTTTAGACCTCGCAGACGACTTATCTTTAATATCGTACAAACTCGGGGATCTACAGGGGAAAACAAACAATTTGGCAGAACATTCAGCTACTGAAGAGAGGACTTCAGGTAAACATAGAGGAGACACAGGTAATGAAGATAATTAACCAACAACAACAATGACAGGAATCAATCATTATCAGTGGGATTGAATAGATAGAATAGGATCATGGAAACAAGACAGATCTTCTCTACTCGGAAATCAGTGCAGAAATCTACGGCACTCAACATAAGGGACAAGATTCTGATCTTCGACACCAATATCAAGTCAGTCAGCGCTTCCACATGGCTCAAAGACTTGATGTGGGCGTCATGAAAAGCATATCCAACAGGCATTGCCCACTTTCACCAAGAGCTGCCTTCACAGTATGCTGAAAATTAGATCAGAACAAGGAACTCTACCAGGTGACGAACCAACTTAACAAATGCATATGGATTAGAGATATATGCTTAGCAGACCGTTGAGTAACATTACGTGTCACTCAAGCTCCCGAGTGAGAAACGACACTTTGGGTGTAGACCGGAGGGTAACATGTAGAGGTCATGTGATGAGGAAATCAAAGTCTACGGCCAATCATGAAGCCAGCTACAAAGGACTGCTGAGAACAGAGTGAAACTGAGATGTACTTTTGAAGCCCTATGTTCTGCTTGGAACCCAGCGGAATAATAATATTGTTATTGTTTCCTTTAGTTCCTAGAGGAACATAGGACTTCAGCCAGACGTCTCCATTGCGTTCGGTTCTCTGCCAGCGTTTTCACCTGGCTAAACGTCTGCCCATATGCTTTCATCTACTCTTCAAATCACATCCTCTTCCATATCACCCTCTCACTGACGACCAACCCCCCCTTTCCCAATCGAACAATGGCCTGGTGTGTAATGGTTTTTCTCCTCAGAGTATGACCACCAATACACCTCCATTTCTTCCAGCATATTTGCTGCACAACTGGTTCCTGTTGGGTTGCTTCGCTCATTGTCAGAGATCCCTCTTGTTGCTGGTCTTTCTGGCCGGCCATCTCATTTTGAGTAGTACTGAGCGAAGACAGCTGTTGGTGAGGGAGTGTAGTTTGTTCGAAGTGCCCTTCGTGACACAGCGCCAAGTCTCTGATCTGTACGTATAGTAAGTAGCACTGACTTCACAATGGAGTTGAAAATCCACATCTTATTCTTCATGCTGAGTGTGGTGTGCTGTTGCTCTCCACAAGACTGGAGAGTAATGAAAGCTTTCCTTGCTTTCCCTATCCTCACTTTGATATCCTCATCAGTTCCGCCCGCCTGTGGTTGAAACGATGCTTCCCAGGTAGGTGGGTAGGTAAACGAGGTTTCTTCTTTCAGATTCCTCCCATTTACGTTGGCTGAGTGTTGTCTGTTGTTGTTGCTGTTGCTGTTGGTAAGGAATCTTCATCATCTCTGTCTTCACCTTCTCTATGTTCACCTGAAGTCCTATCTTCTCTGGATGCGTCTTCCACCTCCAACTTGTTGCTTTTCACTTGCATGTCTTCCAGATTGTGGGAAATCAGACACATATATCATCGGCGAATTCCAGATCCTCCAAGTTTTTTGTGTGTGTCCATTTTATACCTGTTTCCTCGTTCCCTGCCCCTATCTGTCGCATTATCCAGTCTACGGTAATCAGAAAAATTATTGGAGATAGTTGGCAGTCAGCCAGCCTCGTCTTATAATATAATAATATAATCAGCAATAATCTGCTTTATTTGTACATATAATGTTAACTAGTATAAACTACTCCGTACAGTAATTTAAGAGCATAATGGCGAAGGAGTAAGCATGTCGTGAAATAAGTCAAATGTAAATAAAACTTTTTCGGATTAAAAACAGTTATATCTCCATTTCAGGTATGGAGAGAATAAATCTTTCGCCGATAATTCATCCACCTGGAATCAGGAATGTGCAAGGCTTCCTTCTCCCACTCACCCCCACCTCCTGTATACAATTCCTGATACCTTCAGTGCTAATCACTATGCTTAAGATGACTGGTGTCAGAGGAGCATGCGTGCATTCACTAGCGACCAGATTCAAATTGAATTTCTCAGTGTTTTCGTTAGATTTTGTGACTAATGTAGTTCATAACGCCTGATTCACAAGCTCATCCATGTCCATAGATCAGAATGCATACAATAACTGCAGCTGGTGAACAGCGACAGTAAGCAAAAGTTTTATAAACTGGGAAGCTAGTGACTGCGCCCCTAAATCTTCATCTAATCTTGGTAACGTAGGTCGCAGAAAACTTAGCAGAGCTACCACTAAAATCAGTGGATCCCTATTTACCTCATACCACAGAATTCTACATTTCTACAACGTTCCCTACCCGTCCGCTAGGCAGTCAAACTGTAGAATGAACCGCTCGACGACCTTCTCCCAAGACGTCTCCCAAGCCTCAGGATGGTCGGGGGTGGGTGCCTTGCGCTGCGGGTTGGCCACCCCTCCGCACACCTCTTGAAATGCTCCCATATGACCGGGCGTCTTACATAGCCTCTCCTGAGGAAGTCCTACTCACTACCTTCACGTGGCGGAGGTGTTTTTCACCAAAGTGAGGGGGCGAAAGCGGACAGCCGGCGCTCTTCACCGGGTTGACTGTCCATTGGATGACAGTCTAGGGGAGATGGCTAAACCCTGATTCCAAACCTCCAACGACTGGCGTATGAAGCTCACTGGAGCTCACCGGCAGACGTATGGATAAAGGGCTTGTTGGATGTCCTGGATGTCTGGCCCCATTCAAAAAGGCGTATGAACCGAACTCCGGTCACCGGCTACCAATGGACAGTGGACTCCCTACTCCACTCCTACTGCCTTGTAGGTCACACTTGGTTGTGTAAAGGCTAGAGCTGCACCCTCAAACAAAAGGCCGAGCGATTCTGGGGACATCACTCGTACCAAATTCCCATGAAACTTCATGAACTCTCTAATTGGATAACCCTGTCGCAAAACCTTGCATCAGATCGCCGCGCCTGGGCAGCGATGATTCGAGATGTTCATGAAGCCGGCTCATCCTCCCGTAGGAGATAGCCGAAGTAAAGTAAAGTAGTCGTGAATACTCTCCATTCACACAGGAATGAAAAGAAGACGTTGACATACATCTCTGACTTACTTTTGATCCCCTAAAGTTGAATGAATATTATACCAGAGATTAGTTAATGTCCACAGTTCAGTTTATTTTCTAATTTGCATTTAGTGTGGGATGAAAAAAACGTTTAAATATACATCTAACGACTTGAAAGATAAATGACCAGCTAATCAACTGGCTGGCTTGCTGGCCGGCTGATTGGCTGACTGACTGACTGATTAACACTAACAGTGATGACCAATCAACTTGTTAACAGTGTTATGTAATTTGGTTACACCAAAAAAAGTTGAGAGGATACATTTTACTTGCCCTAATTGACATCACTAATATTTCTTATCATATATTCACACTTTTACATGAGTTAATTAGTACTGAAACTTTCTAATTTAGTGTTTGGTCCACATGCATAAATAAACACACCAAAGCACACACATACACACTGAAAACTGGAGTGATAGAGTCCCGTAAAACGTGACTTATCATCCGTACCCAAGAAACTGCTTTACATGAGCTTGGAATTCAAAGGGGGACTTAGCTTCCGATATCACAGTCCCTGAGAAGAATATTCCCTGCTGCATCTCTGAGAATAGTCTTCACTAGTTGACCATTGCTGTTCAATAACCTGAAGGAAAAGATCCCACTGTTGACCAATTCTATGTGAGTTTATCAATTCACCTGCTCGTGTGGAGCTAGGTATATCGGTCGTTCGACTCGAGTTTTGTCCAAGAGGGTGGAAGAACACTATCCTCCTGCATGGTAATTAAGAAGAGGTGGAAATGGAGCAATAAGAAACGCGATCATTGAACATCTGGCTGATAATGATCAGCCTATCTCTACAGCCTCCGCCTTTAAAGTCATCTACAAGGGAAAAAGTAATTTACCGAAATCACTACGTACCCGACTCATCTGTATTGCTGAAGCCATCTTTGGCTATCGAAACAGAAAAGCCAGATCTTTGTGTACAGAAAAAGAGGTTCGTTCAACCCCTCCAACTTTCATGGTCTTAATCCCTCTACTATGCTGAAGTATGGTAATCCCCAATCATATTTTCGCACTACCAATTTTTTCATTTTGTCTATTCAATTTGTACGCTCTTCCTTTATCACGTCAATTGTTACTCTTGATACTATTCTCACTTTGAACTGTCCCCGGTATTATTTCACTTGTTCCACTTGTCGTTCTAAATCAATTCTGTCTTGCAACGTTAATTT